TCTTAGGTTGTTTACTTTTTGCTTGCCTTTTCAAAAAGGGCTATTCAATTGATATTTTCATTTGAAAAAATAATGAGTTCCGTTTCTCAACAGTTGTATTCCCTAACAATTTTCTGGCATAGATTTCACATATTTTATCTATTATTTGCACCATTATTTTTGATAATTTTGAATAAAAAATATTTGCTGCGCACGTGAGAAAGAGCCGTCTCGTTATCTTGAAGCAGCACTTTTGCAGGATAAACCTCTCGAATTTCGACCTCCGGTGGCTGAGTAAATAGACCGTACATCGTCTAGTCCTGAGCACCCTGGCGTTCAATTCCAGATTCTTTCATAATTCGAGGAAAGTTTAAAAAAAAGGATTCCTCTTTATTTTTAAGCGGAGATTTGGACACCTGAATTGAGAGATATCAATTTAGGCTCAAATAGGATTTATTGGATTCTAACACGTTTACTCCCCGTGGAACACAGTTTCCAACAGAGAGGTTTTTTGACTAAGTTTGTGGACATTTCTAAAGTGTGAGATAAATTATGACCCAGCGAGCCTACAAGACACCCCCACCCCCCTCAGACATTCCAATAAAAATGGTGTGAAACTCAGGGTAGGGCGACCTTTCATCTCATCGAAAGTGGTAGAGGGGAACAACTATACTCACTTCCCCAATTATTTGATTGGGCTTACATAATCCTATTGAAACATTGAAAATTGCTGCTGAATGTTACAATCTGCACTTTATAATACATTAAGTATGTCTACAAGCTATAGAACATATTTTAACTGTGGATGTTAGACTGCGCAGCATAGCCTGGCGACGTGGTAAAAATTAATTTTGAATTTTTGAAGGCTATTAATTTGTAGTTTTAAGAATACAGTACTGTACCTCCTTTTACTCAATTAACGCTCCAAAATAAATATACTGTGGGTTACCTGTGCAAATTACTTGGTTAAAACACGCTAAAAACACTGTTCTGACGTTAAAACCAAAATTCCACAGCTTCATATCACTAGATTCAACTAACTTCAACCAACAACAATACTCTGAATATTTTACAAGAAAAAAAAACGCTATAAACTAGAGTCGGTATTTCAAGCTGCAAATATTTATGTTAGAGCAATTTAAAATCGAAACATTCTACCTCGTCTTCAAATTTCTGATCGTTGTGATCAAAGATAAGTTCCAGTGTGGATAGCCTTAGGGATAATTATATAATCGCCCTTTTTCGGTAAACACTTTAAACTCCCACTTTGTCAATGCACAACTATTCTTCTATATAGTGTATTCAGTGTATGGGGTGGAATTTTAAAGCATGACAGATGCATAACTAAAATTCGATTAACAGTTAAATTAAGTTTATAAATCTTGGAAAACATTTGGGATATATGTTTTTGCTTACATTTTGTCTTTATAATGAATATTATAAACATTTGATATAAGATTTAGGCTTAGAAGCTATATTTCAAAGCTTGAGCGATATTTTAAAGCTCAAACGCATGAGGAAAAACGTGCCACGAATAAGAAATGTCAAATATAAAATAGTAAATATTTTCAAGGTAAACAGAGAATTTAGAATAAAAGTATGTGTTGACTTAAAAAAATCCCTCTGTCCATTAAATTAGCCACTTGACGGTTTTCATCGCAACGTTACTCGGAGGTACATCCTAGCCCTCCCCCCCCAAAAAAAAAAAAAAAATTTTTTTTAAGAAGAAGAAGAAGGAAAACTTAGCATGTGTATCCTCTTAGCCTTTCCAGACACCAGGGAATCTTCACCCCCTTTAAATTCAAACTCACCCGGCTGCAACTCCATACCCTTGGACCTTCATTGCGCTCCGACATGACGGTAAACCCCAGGACCATAATAACAGCAATATTTTCACTGCATTCCTGTACACACTCCCCGTTGAGGAACACATGGTGAATCCGAGAGTGCGCTCGACCTGCGAGCACCGACTCTTCACTGAAACTGCACTACCTCTGATGTAGGAGTGCCAGGGCCTTACGTACCCCGTGTAAGAAACTGGTGCTGCTACTGGCGAGTTTCCTTTCGTTTGGGTCCCTGAATGCAGATTCCTATATTTTGAGTTTTACAAAGAAAATGACACGTTTGGCGACGAAGGGAATTGTTCAGTTCGTGTTGATGCCACTGGTTTTGAAGTCATTTTTGATTTTTGGTGCACAGTAGGGCCTGTTTTGTGTATTTTTTTTACCTTTCAAAACAACTTGCTTAATGAAGGAAAGAAAGCAATTATTCGTACAATTTCAAAACAATTCCTCTTCTAAAATCAACTCGAACGAGACAAGAGCTACGTGCAGCCATATACTTGAAAAATAATGAATTGTACGGAGCACTAAAGATATCCGGAAAAGAAACCAGGTTGCTATGCGGTTGTCAGACTGCTTGGATATAATAAATTTTTCCTGTTCTCCTTTTAGCATAAGACTTAATTATACTCTAAAGTTAAGTCTTAGTGTCACATCCGTGGGTACGCTCAAACAGGTACGCATGTACGTGCGGTTAAAGTCGAAAAGCCCTTAATATTACATGATACATAGTTCTTTTTTTAGAAGAATAATTGTTACAACTTCGGTCTAATCGATTTTTATTCCTGCAGCACTGAAACCTGTTTTATGTCTAATGCGTGTATTTTTTTTAAAGAACCGCTTATAGGCAGTGTGTCTTGCACATCAGCATAGATCGTCTAAAAGTGATGCTTAGCAGTATCCTCAAACCTGTAGGCCTACCGGTGTGTCTCTTAATTCGGAAGAAATGCTTCAAATCAGACCTGGTGAAACGGCTCTCCTAAGGTAAAAAGTACACCGGCGAGACGGTATCTGCAAATCAGCAAAAGAACTGGTTTACGCTTGCTTGCTGTTTAATTTGCCTCCTCGGTGGGATAGTAAGTTTGAAAAAAATAACATACAGTGATATGAAAATTGCCCAGTTGTCTGCAGAAGTACGAATTGCACTATCTCAACTCCTTGATCCACTTTTTAAGCTGCTTTTTAGACGTGTTGAAAAAAACACACAGATGATCATGCGCTGTATTATAGAGTCCAACGAGTGTACGGCTGAGTGCAGTGTACTCCGTGTACTGACAAACATCTTAGCGCTTTTCTTATATACAAACACCTTAGGCGACGCATGCGCTTGATATTAAAACCATGACAGTGATCGCTCTCTCCTCAACGCTGGTTCAGACGTAACATTTAATAGCATGGATGAACGCTCAAATCACCGCTGGTCAATCCCATTCGTTGCCCTTTGCGCCACCCACCGGTTCACCAAATCAGGCGTCCAACTTGAAACGCATTCTTCAATTAAGTCGATTTTAAGAGCTCGCTTTCAAAAGAGGCTACAGCATTGGGTATCAAAAGGCAGATTTTCAAGAAACCACAAGTATGTCCGACTGCATTTTTGCACATTTGACACCGATTAGAATGTTTTCTCCCCCATTAGCTGTATGCGACACAATAACAATGGGTTCTCGCTGACAAGCAATATGGTCCATGTCTTCCTAACCGTTACACGTTTATTCTCATTAGAAACCATCGGATCTTAGTAACATCTTGGGGATAGGGGGGGGGGTGGGGCAGAGGTTTCCAACTCCTTTTCGCCATTATAATTTTTTTGTTTTTCCCTCGGCATTTCATTTTTATAAAATCAAAATGTCTGTGTGTGTGTGTGTGTGTGTGCGTGCGAACACGGGGGGTGGGGGGTACATGGCATTTAAAAAATATATTAAGGTTAGAATTGTTTCCAACTCCTTTTTGCCATTATAATTTTTTTGTTTTTCCCTCGGCATTTCATTTTTATAAAATCAAAATGTCTGTGTGTGTGTGTGTGTGTGTATGCGTGCGAACACGGGGGGGTGGGGGGTACATGGCATTTAAAAAATATATTAAGGTTAGAATTGTCGAAACTTTCCAATACTTCTTCATGGAGGTAATTACTGTGAAAAAGATCCTGACATGGGAAGATATTACAAATGTCCGGATCATCTTACGCTTTGAGTTCTTGTATAGAAAAAGTTTGAAGGGTTATTATTGTTTTAATTGTCGTTACATTCTAAGCTCATTCTAAACATGTTTTTTTTTTAGTTTTCTTTTGCTGTTTTTGACAAATCCCATAACACAGGTGTCAACTTCATACCAGTGACGTTTTTCTTGCACATACATGGGTGAATGCACCAAATTCAACGCAATCAATACCAAAAGTTAGTAGTCACTAAAAATGTCGAAAACGAAAATGATATTTTTAAGAGTTTGGAGGTACCGAAAACCCGACCAAAATTTTAAACCCTTTTTTTATGAAACTCGACATATTCGAAGTGAAGACACGTGCATCAGCAACCTTACATAATTTAAGCCCGTTTTTTTTTTTGTGTGTGTGTGGGGGGGGGGGGGGGGGGCAATTTAGGGCAAGTTCAACGTCCAAAGGCAGGGATAATTATCAGATCCTTCTGACATGGGTGCGTGCGACGAAGGTGAGACGAGGTGACGACTTTTTGACATGGGTTATCTGCAACGGAGCAGATCCAAAGCGCGTATTTAGTTCCCAAGGTATAAAAACAGGAAGAATGAAATTCGTTTTTGCCAATTAGTATTTCAGTGCGCTTCCCTCTGCTCCGGATTCGGGGGCTGCGCGTCACTTTGACTGGCGTCAGATCGTATCTACCTCCCTCCGTTTTCCTCTATGAACTTTGCCTTTATTTCTTTTGGAAAAACAAACTACACACAACAAAGAGAAAAAAAAGGTACATGTGCATACTGCATGCCTGTGAAAGTTACCCAAAGCTCGATTTTCGTCTAAATATGCTTGAAAGCTACCCATCTTTCTATTTCGAGCTTAACGACAAACGAAACCCCGTCACATTAGAAACCGATGCGCGTTTACTTCTGTCAACTTGGGAAGACGTGTTGCATTCTTAACAAATATCTTTTATCTGGAACCAAGCACTTTAATATCGCAGTTGCAGGTACGGACCAAGCAACGATCCTTAATAAATTTTCCTCGAAATTATACTTCAATTTTGGTTTAAAAATCCTTCACAAAATACCCTTACTTTCACATGCGTCCTCACTGAAAATCTAATACCATGCCCTTTAATTCGTATACAGTAACTTCGTTCTAAATTCTGTACTATATACAAAGCCTCCAATAACCATAATCATCCTAGGTTACTTTAAACAAGTTTAGAAGAAAGATGCCTTTGGAATTAAAACGCAAGGAAGGTCTTTTTCACATAATTTATTATATAATTTGACATTTAAATCATCTTCCCCCATTTGAAAGTCCGTTACTCTTTTGGTCAGAATCGTACACCTCGTCTTTTGCCGGTGTTCTCCTTCCTAAAAAATAAATAAAATCAGGAATTAAAATACATTCAGCAAAATGTAAACCCGGGTTCAAACTGACATGCATAAATGAAGTTTTAAATCAAGTGTAGAGAAAACATCGTCAAGAAAGCCGAGAGATGAAGATGCAATTCAGAAGACAAGATCAGATCACGGTGTTCATTTGTCCCTATCTGTCTATACACTCATCATTTGCATCGTCACAAACTCTCGTCATTCCACGCGAGATTCAAAAATACATGATTGTGCTTTTTTTTTTTTGCTTTTGCCGATTTCAGAAGAAGTAAGAAATGGACCAACTTGGAATCGATTAGATTTTGGCAACGGTCCTTTAATCAATCAAAATGAGAAATAAGCTGCATTGGCAGAAATATGTGCCTCGAATGTTTCTTTAGTTTAATATACTTTAAAAAGTCATAAAAAGAGTATAGTTAAGCATATGTTCCTACAGTTGTGTTAATTTTTAAACACACAACAAAATCCACATAAAAAAAAAAACTTACCAACTTTAAAGATAGCTTTCCAAAACCCTGTGCTTGAAACCGTTTAGTCATTTCAGTTCCACCAGAAAATTTTCCAAATGGACTCTCACTTACGTGGGACCTAGAAATTGCAAAAGTGAGCTCAAAAATTAACTCGTTCTAAAACTGCATGACACCACAAGTACCCTCAAAAAACCACTGGCACTTCAGACAAAAAATGGAACGGTAAAGGGTTAATATCACCACTGAGTATCATTTGGCAGAATATTATCATCATAAAAGCCAGCGTCATCAAACAACTTGATGTTAAAGAAAAAAGTTGATGCTTATTTATCTCATTCTTACACCAAAAGAACCGAGAACACCTTGGACTGAATGCAATACAAAGAGAAGACATACCTCCTCCTCCTCCTTTTAGCCCTTCCCGATGCCAATGTTGTGAAGATTCATGAAGACTACAGAGATACAACTGGTCTCACTGGTTCATGGACATTGGTGTTGAAAAACTTCCAATTCTCCCAATCCAACATAGCTGTCAATATAATAATAATAATAAAACCACACCACAAAGAATTATTACAAGGTAAATACACAGTAAAATTAGTTTCAGAATTTATATAAAAGATGTTGGCTCAGACTTCCAAGGAAGGACTAAAACCATCTCTGACAGTCTGAGAGACTGACCGTCTCTGGTGGAAACCGCGAATGATGGCAAAATGGTCTTCATCATCACCAACTTTTCATCTAATTTAACAAACATTAATGAAAAGATATATTGGTGTACCCACCACTCTTGCCCATAATTTGTTCCATAGTGCTTTTTCTTCCTTAGCTCCATCTAAAAATACAAACTGCCATTAATTGAATGGTATGTGCAATACATGCAATTTTATAGATTTTGATTATTAAATACATATAACTTATGGTTGCACAAGAAGAATTATTGGCTCAGACTTCCAAGGAAGGACTAAGACCATCTCTGACAGTCTGAGACTGACTGTCTCTGGTGGAAACCGCGAATGATGGCAAAAAAGTCTTCATCATTACCAAGACCCTCAAATTCTATTTTCTTTGGGTTTTTTAATTCTTCTTTTAGAGAAATGCAGTAGTCTCAAAGAATACTTTCTCAATTAATGAGTATGCGCAGTCTCGAGAAGTTTCGTAATATTGCAGTATTGAAGTACTACATGTATCAAGACTACATGTACCTTCCACAAAAAATGAGCGATGAGAACAAGAAAATATAAATAAAATATACCTCATCTCTTTATCCAGCAGAGGCCTGGTCATTCAATTTCTAGAAGAAAATCAGATGGGAATTATGGTTTTTGTTCCATCGAGTTCACAATACAATTTCACATCTCACTATAATTTCTGTATCAGATAGGGGCGAAAATAGTATCTTCACTTTAACTCGAATGAACTATAAGGTCATCATATACAGTCATGCTTATCCCAAGTTTTAGGTTTCAATCATCATTTCACTGTTTCTAATTATGTGACACTATTTTAAGAAAATTAATAAATACTTAAAGTAAAGATTAAACTTACCAGTGAGTTATCATTTGAAAAGCTTAATCATCTGTAAAAGAAAATCAGTATTTTGTGATATCTTACTGTCAACTATCATCTGAACTGCAAAATCTGCAGTTTAAAATAGTGATTTCAGCATTACAGACAAACATGCATTTAATTGCTGTATCAGATAGGGGCGAAATTTTATCTTCACAGCCAATCGAATGAACTATAAGATCATCATATACAGCAACAATGGTTCAAGTTGAAGGAAAATTTGGGAAGGCACAAAAGCTGCAGGAATTTTGTTTCAATCAATATTATTATGTTCCTTCCACAAAATTATACAGAAACAAGGCAGCAAAGCTGTCAAATGTACAGACAAAAAGCAGGAAATAACAAAATAGGCTACTGTCAATTCTGATGCAAAAGTACATTATGTTAAACTGCAAATTCAACATCAAATTCTAATTATGCTCAACAGGTAATACCAATGTAAGTAAAATGTGTAACAAACATAAGGCTTCAGGCCCATGGGAGTTCAAGTTCACCCTTTGNAAAAAGTGCTTACCTCTGTTAAACTCTTTGTTTCCTCTGAACATCAGCAGTTCAACAAAAGGCTGGAATTGCACAATGGGCAAATATTTTTAAAGATGTTGAAAATAATATTTTCCGTGAATTTAAAAATCAGGCATCAACATGTTTAATATGATCTTAAATTTGACAAAAACTGATAATGATAACACTGCTTGCCTCAGTCTTTTGTGGTGATTTTATTCGTCATACAAGCAGTCAAGAGTAGCAAATATGGACACATCATTGGCAAGCAATATTGAGTTAAAAGGAATGTTCCCCAAGTCATTCTTGATTAACCTAAATTATATTTTTGTGATTTTTCAACAAAGAACAGCTTCATTTAAATCTAACTTGTCTAAAAAGGCAAATTAGCTTGATGTAATATTCAATTTGTAATTTTTTTTTAATTTCCAGATTACTTTACATAATACTAACCTTGGATAATTGAACCTTTCTTCACATGGTAACGATAAAACTGTTCTTCAGTGCCAGTTTGTGTGGTCTTGATGCATCATCTGAAAATGTCAAAATTAGTGTAAATCACAAATTGTATCATTAACAGTAAAATCCCAAATTTAAATTTTGAAACCTTCAGGAGTCCTACTGAATATTTTACAACAGGAAGAACATGATTAATTTAAGTAGTGCTATTTGATTGTTCACAAACTGCCATAAAAACTGTCCACAGTATATCAGATTTCTACCCATTTTTACAGTGCATGCTGCTTTGAAAATATTGCTTTGGAAACTGAAGCTATGTTGAAATCTGACTAAGAACAGCTAGTATTACTTGAACAATGTTAAGTACTACTTGAACGATGTTTTACTCGGCTTCGGAAAATTCTACAATAAAAGCTCGAGTTGCTTATGAATTTATCTTGCTTGCTTTCTCAGTTGGTTGAATCCTGCACTTGACTCCCACACTGTTTTTCAGGGTCAAGAAAGTAATCATCATTGAAAGTAAGCTTTGAAAACACGTTTTCGACAAATGAGCAGCGTCGTTTGGGTGCAGTTTGAGACAGATTGAAAGACCACATGAGGGCACCGGTCTTGGTACCAACACCTTTTTAACATGCCTTTGTGCAAAAAATACGATACATAAACGACATACCATAACTGGTTAAGATAGATGGATGTTTTCTTAATCTCATCCTGTCTCGAAATGTCTTTCTGTTCTAAAATGAAGACGATGTCTGCCGATTCTTGTGCACAGTCTTCCTCGTTTCATGCTGTGTGATAAAATGAGACAGATGTATAAATGTTCGCTAGAGGGCAGTACATACAAGACAACACTTTTCGAGAATAGTCATCCACGAAAAAGACTCGTTTTCGAGATACAGAATATCCACGCGTTTTAACACTAGCATCTGTTAAAATTATAGAAACGAGGTACACGCCCCCCCCCCCCTTCTTGAACCTTCCAGATCTATAACGTTACTTTCTTTATTTCTTATTCGACGGTCTGGTGAAGCCATTTCAGTAAAGCATTCACCTGAAAAACCAGGTAGAAATTAGGAAAACAGACTGTCCTATCAAATGCATCTTAGTAGGAAGTTAATTACGCAAATTATCGATTTCCGTCGAACGTCACGAAGGAAATTTCACTCGCAAGTACACGTGTATTAATCGAGGTCATGCCGCATGTGACTAAATGTGACCAATCAGAGGAGCGCACGTGCGAGGTTTTGACCAATCCGCTTTCGACACGACCGGGACTATCATCCTAAAGCCGTCTTAGTATAGTACGAGTCACCATTAACGGTGACGATATATTAAGGACGAAGGTGCAGGATTGTCATTAATCGGAGACAAGACACTAGAGAAAGAGTTTCATAACCGTACCAGCAAATACTGAAGCACATATCACAGTCAAGAAATACAAGGTAGGTATCTTAAATATCTAAATATACGAGTTTTACAGTTCGCGTCATTTGAGGTCAACTCGCCGGCAAACATGTGGAGTGAACACGTTTTGTTCAACGATTTCCTGATCATGAATTTATCTTGAATATAATATGTCGCATTTTGTTAAGAATCAGCTATCACAGCTGTTCTAAAATATTTTATGTATTTGTAGGTGTGTATGAAAATATTGTTATCGTCATATTGTTTTCATACCAGTTATTATTAAACCATATCAAATATGAAATAAAGGAAAAGACACCTCGTCACCTTTTAATAGAGAATTGAATTTAAAACGATTTTTTTTCAGATGAGGCGGACAGTATTAATATTTTTCTGCGTAGCAGCCATAGTTGCTGTATCTGGAAAAGAGGAGAAAGGTGACGAAAAGGAAGAGAAGTCAGAAAAGGACAAGAAGGAAGATATTGGCACAGTGATTGGTATTGACTTGGGGACGACTTACTCATGGTAGGTACCACTGTTTAAAGATTTTCCCACAAAAACTCAATTAAATTTTCTTGGGCAAACAGAACTTCTCTGATTTACAAACTTTTGTTCCTCTTTATCTGATAATGGATATAATTCCTTAACAATCTGGGAAAAATTAAGTCCATGCACGCTCGGCTGTCACCTTGATTGGATAGTAAACGATTGTCGTAAAATCGCTAAATGATATTAAAACTGGGTGCATAAACTTGAAAACCACCTACAACAACCTTGGACTACCACATTAATCCAATACAATGCAAACATAAACTATAACAAGTGGTTAAAGCCTTCAAACCGAATGTNTGTCAAAATTAGTGTAAATCACAAATTGTATCATTAACAGTAAAATCCCAAATTTAAATTTTGAAACCTTCAGGAATCCTACTGAATATTTTACAACAGGAAGAACATGATTAATTTAAGTAGTGCTATTTGTTTGTTCACAAACTGACATAAAAACTGTCCACAGTATATCAGATTTCTACCCATTTTTACAGTGCATGCTGCTTTGAAAATATTGCTTTGGAAACTGAAGCTATGTTGAAATCTGACAAAGAACAGCTAGTATTACTTGAACAATGTTAGGCACTACTTGAACGATGTTTTACTCGGCTTCGGAAAATTCTACAATAAAAGCTCGAGTTGCTTATTAATTTATCTTGCTTGCTTTCTCAGTTGGTTGAATCCTGCACTTGACTCCCACACTGTTTTTCAGGGTCAAGAAAGTAATCATCATTGAAAGTAAGCTTTGAAAACACGTTTTCGACAAATGAGCAGCGTCGTTTGGGTGCAGTTTGAGACAGATTGAAAGACCACATGAGGGCACCGGTCTTGGTACCAACACCTTTTTAACATGCCTTTGTGCAAAAAATACGATACATAAACGACATACCATAACTGGTTAAGATAGATGGATGTTTTCTTAATCTCATCCTGTCTCGAAATGTCTTTCTGTTCTAAAATGAAGACGATGTTTGCCGATTCTTGTACACCATCTTCCTCGTTTCATGCTGTGTGGTAAAATGAGACAGATGTATAAATGTTCGCTAGAGGGCAGTACATACAAGACAACTCTTTTCGAGAAAAGTCATCCACGAAAAAGACTCGTTTTCGAGGTACAGAATATCCCCGCGTTTTAACACTAGCATCTGTTAAAATTATAGAAACGAGGTACACGCCCCCCCCCCCCTTCTTGAACCTTCCAGATCTGTAACGTTACTTTCTTTATTTCTTATTCGACGGTCTGGTGAAGCCATTTCAGTAAAGCATTCACCTGAAAAACCAGGTAGAAATTAGGAAAACAGACTGTCCTATCAAATGCATCTTAGTAGGAAGTTAATTACGCAAATTATTGATTTCCGTCGAACGTCACGAAGGAAATTTCACTCGCAAGTACACGTGTATTAATCGAGGTCATGCCGCATGTGACTAAATGTGACCAATCAGAGGAGCGCACGTGCGAGGTTTTGACCAATCCGCTTTCGACACGACCGGGACTATCATCCTAAAGCCGTCTTAGTATAGTACGAGTCACCATTAACGGTGACGATATATTAAGGACGAAGGTGCAGGATTGTCATTAATCGGAGACAAGACACTAGAGAAAGAGTTTCATAACCGTACCAGCAAATACTGAGGCACATATCACAGTCAAGAAATACAAGGTAGGTATCTTAAATATCTAAATATACGAGTTTTACAGTTCGCGTCATTTGAGGTCAACTCGCCGGCAAACATGTGGAGTGAACACGTTTTGTTCAACGATTTCCTGATCATGAATTTATCTTGAATATAATATGTCGCATTTTGTTAAGTATCAGCAATCACAGCTGTTCTGAAATATTTTATGTATTTGTAGGTGTGTATGAAAATATTGTTATCGTCATATTATATGTTTTCATACCAGTTATTATTAAACCATATCAAATATGAAATAAAGGAAAAGACACCTCGTCACCTTTTAATAGAGAATTGAATTTAAAACGATTTTTTTTCAGATGAGGCGGACAGTATTAATATTTTTCTGCGTAGCAGCCATAGTTGCTGTATCTGGAAAAGAGGAGAAAGGTGACGAAAAAGAAGAGAAGTCAGAAAAGGACAAGAAGGAAGATATTGGAACAGTGATTGGTATTGACTTGGGGACGACTTACTCATGGTAGGTACCACTGTTTAAAGATTTTCCCACAAAAACTCAATTAAATTTTCTTGGGCAAACAGAACTTCTCTGATTTACAAACTTTTGTTCCTCTTTATCTGATAATGGATATAATTCCTTAACAATCTGGGAAAAATTAAGTCCATGCTAAAGTATTGTAAGATTTTTTTTTTTATTTTGTAAGATTGTTATTCTTACAGATGATAGAAGATTGCAAAATCTGTCTGTGATCTTTCATTAACTCATTTTTAAGTTGAGATTCTAAGTGGCTCCATGTTTTATTCGCAGTGTGGGAGTGTTCAAGAATGGTAGGGTTGAAATCATCGCCAATGACCAGGGTAACAGAATTACTCCATCTTATGTGGCCTTCACTCCCGAGGGGGAACGTCTTATTGGTGACGCCGCAAAGAATCAGTTGACAAGCAATCCTGAGAATACCGTCTTTGACATCAAACGTCTTATTGGGCGCAGTTGGAGTGAGAAGTCTGTGGCAGAGGATGTCAAATTTTTCCCATTCAATGTAAGTGCTCTTGTGATATTATTTTTTTGTACACTGCTAATTAGTTTTGTAACTTGTCCTAAAAAAAATTCATTTGTATGTTTTTGCCAGGTACTTCAAAATAGTGCTTTTGAAGATGAAATTTGTAAATGAAAAAAATAAAATTAAAGTGTAAGTTTGGGTTTTAATCGAGGTAGTTATTGATTTTTCTAATCTGCAGGTGATTGAAAAGAACAGTAAGCCACATGTTCGAGTTGATGTTGGTGGAGACAGAAAGACTTTTGCTCCAGAGGAAATCTCAGCCATGGTTCTCGGAAAGATGAAGGAGATTGCTGAGGCGTATTTGGGCAAGAAAGTGACCCATGCTGTTGTGACAGTGCCAGCGTATTTCAACGATGCCCAGAGACAAGCCACCAAGGATGCTGGCAGTATTGCTGGCCTGAATGTTATGAGGATCATTAATGAGCCGTAAGTTATCCTCTGTTCTCCTTATAAAGAGTAAATGATAAAAACACGTAATTGATGCATAAAAAAGGCATTGTTTTATTGTTCAAGTACAATTTCAAAAATTTACTCAAATGATGGTGACAATGTGAAGACAGAATTATTAGCGATTGGGCATATAATTAAGGGGGGGGGGTCGATGCCTCTTTATGTTGTGAATTTAGAAGTTTTAATTGGGTGTTATAAAAGTCAAGTAACACTCCTTTTCTGCATTATCATGCAGGACTGCAGCTGCTATTGCCTACGGATTGGACAAAAAAGAAGGCGAGAAGAACATCTTGGTCTTTGATCTCGGTGGTGGCACTTTTGATGTCTCGGTCCTGACCATTGACAATGGTGTCTTTGAGGTCGTGGCCACCAATGGTGACACTCACTTGGGTAAGCAAATTTGATTATGACAAAAAGAAAATCACATCTTTTAAGTCTGTTGACCAGAACTCGATTAGAGAAATATGAAACAGAAAATGGTGAATATAAGATTGGAGCCCATGCTTAAATTGTGATGTGCTTTACAGATTTATGTCAAATTTGTTAATTTGATTTTATTCACTTATTATTTTTTAATTGGATTAAAAAGTAAAACTATTTACTTGACTGATATTTTTCTTTGTTTAGGTGGTGAGGACTTTGACCAGAGAGTGATGGAACACTTCATGAAGCTCTACAAGAAGAAAACTGGCAAAGATATCCGCAAGAGCAACAGAGCCACTCAGAAACTTCGCCGTGAAGTGGAGAAGGCCAAGCGTGCTTTGTCCAGCGCTCACCAGACTAGAATTGAGATCGAGTCCTTCTACGAGGGAGAAGATTTCTCTGAGACTTTGACCCGTGCCAAATTTGAGGAGCTGAATATGGTATGTTTTTCTTTAAATTTTTTTTACCTATGTCACTTTTTCACAAGCAAGTCTGGTAGTACCTATTATGCACATGTGCCAAAAGCTAAAACCTTTTTTTTTTAAAGTAATGGTTGGCAAAATACTTTCCTAAGCTTTGCTCATTAATGAACAAAGTCTTTCAATTTAAAGGTTTTTTTTGTAGTTTCTAACTTAACAGTTTTGACTTTTGATTCCGATATACGACACACTTCTAAAGTTGAGCTCATTTTGTTTGCAGGATTTGTTTAGAAAGACCATGGCTCCAGTTAAGAAAGTCATGGAGGACTCTGACCTGAAGAAAAGTGACATAGACGAGATTGTTCTTGTCGGTGGGTCCACCCGTATCCCCAAGGTGCAGCAGCTTGTCAAGGAATACTTTGACGGCAAGGTGGGTGATTGTGAACTTTATTTTTACATCTTTATATTTTATAGTCTTAATATAATGATAATTTATCTTTAGATCTTTGATATTTTTATAGTATTTATAAGTTGAACTTTTTNCCGCAAAGAATCAGTTGACAAGCAATCCTGAGAATACCGTCTTTGACATCAAACGTCTTATTGGGCGCAGTTGGAGTGAGAAGTCTGTGGCAGAGGATGTCAAATTTTTCCCATTCAATGTAAGTGCTCTTGTGATATTATTTTTTTGTACACTGCTAATTAGTTTTGTAACTTGTCCTAAAAAAAATTCATTTGTATGTTTTTGCCAGGTACTTCAAAATAGTGCTTTTGAAGATGACATTTGTAAATGAAAAAAATAAAATTAAAGTGTAAGTTTGGGTTTTAATCGAGGTAGTTATTGATTTTTCTAATCTGCAGGTGATTGAAAAGAACAGTAAGCCACATGTTCGAGTTGATGTTGGTGGAGACAGAAAGACTTTTGCTCCAGAGGAAATCTCAGCCATGGTTCTCGGAAAGATGAAGGAGATTGCTGAGGCGTATTTGGGCAAGAAAGTGACCCATGCTGTTGTGACAGTGCCAGCGTATTTCAACGATGCCCAGAGACAAGCCACCAAGGATGCTGGCAGTATTGCTGGCCTGAATGTTATGAGGATCATTAATGAGCCGTAAGTTATCCTCTGTTCTCCTTATAAAGAGTAAATGATAAAAACACGTAATTGATGCATAAAAAAGGCATTGTTTTATTGTTCAAGTACAATTTCAAAAATTTACTCAAATGATGGTGACAATGTGAAGACAGAATTATTAGCGATTGGGCATATAATTAAGGGGGGGGGGTCGATGCCTCTTTATGTTGTGAATTTAGAAGTTTTAATTGGGTGTTATAAAAGTCAAGTAACACTCCTTTTCTGCATTATCATGCAGGACTGCAGCTGCTATTGCCTACGGATTGGACAAAAAAGAAGGCGAGAAGAACATCTTGGTCTTTGATCTCGGTGGTGGCACTTTTGATGTCTCGGTCCTGACCATTGACAATGGTGTCTTTGAGGTCGTGGCCACCAATGGTGACACTCACTTGGGTAAGCAAATTTGATTATGACAAAAAGAAAATCACATCTTTTAAGTCTGTTGACCAGAACTCGATTAGAGAAATATGAAACAGAAAATGGTGAATATAAGATTGGAGCCCATGCTTAAATTGTGATGTGCTTTACAGATTTATGTCAAATTTGTTAATTTGATTTTATTCACTTATTATTTTTTAATTGGATTAAAAAGTAAAACTATTTACTTGACTGATATTTTTCTTTGTTTAGGTGGTGAGGACTTTGACCAGAGAGTGATGGAACACTTCATGAAGCTCTACAAGAAGAAAACTGGCAAAGATATCCGCAAGAGCAACAGAGCCACTCAGAAACTTCGCCGTGAAGTGGAGAAGGCCAAGCGTGCTTTGTCCAGCGCTCACCAGACTAGAATTGAGATCGAGTCCTTCTACGAGGGAGAAGATTTCTCTGAGACTTTGACCCGTGCCAAATTTGAGGAGCTGAATATGGTATGTTTTTCTTTAAATTTTTTTTACCTATGTCACTTTTTCACAAGCAAGTCTGGTAGTACCTATTATGCACATGTGCCAAAAGCTAAAACCTTTTTTTTTTAAAGTAATGGTTGGCAAAATACTTTCCTAAGCTTTGCTCATTAATGAACAAAGTCTTTCAATTTAAAGGTTTTTTTTGTAGTTTCTAACTTAACAGTTTTGACTTTTGATTCCGATATACGACACACTTCTAAAGTTGAGCTCATTTTGTTTGCAGGATTTGTTTAGAAAGACCATGGCTCCAGTTAAGAAAGTCATGGAGGACTCTGACCTGAAGAAAAGTGACATAGACGAGATTGTTCTTGTCGGTGGGTCCACCCGTATCCCCAAGGTGCAGCAGCTTGTCAAGGAATACTTTGACGGCAAGGTGGGTGATTGTGAACTTTATTTTTACATCTTTATATTTTATAGTCTTAATATAATGATAATTTATCTTTAGATCTTTGATATTTTTATAGTATTTATAAGTTGAACTTTTTAGCCTTTCTACTTTTGTTTGTGGAAAAAATATTGAGGANCTGCAAAGAATCAGTTGACAAGCAATCCTGAGAATACCGTCTTTGACATCAAACGTCTTATTGGGCGCAGTTGGAGTGAGAAGTCTGTGGCAGAGGATGTCAAATTTTTCCCATTCAATGTAAGTGCTCTTGTGATATTATTTTTTTGTACACTGCTAATTAGTTTTGTAACTTGTCCTAAAAAAATTTCATTTGTATGTTTTTGCCAGGTACTTCAAAATAGTGCTTTTGAAGATGAAATTTGTAAATGAAAAAAATAAACTTAAAATTTAAGTGTAAATTTGGCTTTTAATCGAGGTAGTTATTGATTTTTCTAATCTGCAGGTGATTGAAAAGAACAGTAAGCCACATGTTCGAGTTGACGTTGGTGGAGACAGAAAGACTTTTGCTCCAGAGGAAATCTCAGCAATGGTTCTCGGAAAGATGAAGGAGATTGCTGAGGCGTATTTGGGCAAGAAAGTGACCCATGCTGTTGTGACAGTGCCAGCGTATTTCAACGATGCCCAGAGACAAGCCACCAAGGATGCTGGCAGTATTGCTGGCCTGAATGTTATGAGGATCATTAATGAGCCGTAAGTTATCCTCTGTTCTCCTTATAAAGAGTAAATGATAAAAACACGTAATTGATGCATAAAAAAGGCATTGTTTTATTGTTCAAGTACAGTTTCAAAAATTAACTCAAATGATGGTGACAATGTGAAGACAGAATTATTAGCGATTGGGCATATAATTAAGGGGGAGGGGTCGATGCTTCTTTATGTTGTGAATTTAGAAGTTTCAATTGGGTGTTATAAAAGTCAAGTAACACTTCTTTTCTGCCTTATCATGCAGGACTGCAGCTGCTATTGCCTACGGATTGGACAAAAAAGAAGGCGAGAAGAACATCCTGGTCTTTGATCTCGGTGGTGGCACTTTTGATGTCTCGGTCCTGACCATTGACAATGGTGTCTTTGAGGTCGTAGCCACCAATGGTGACACTCACTTGGGTAAGCAAATTTAATTATGACAAAAAGAAAATCACATCTTTTAAGTCTGTTGACCAGAACTCGATTAGGGAAATATGAAACAGAAAATGGTGAATATAAGAATGGAGCCCATGCTTAAATTGTGATGTGCTTTACAGATTTATGTCAAATTTGTTAATTTAATTTTATTCACTTATTATTTTTTTATTGGATTAAAAAGTAAAACTATTTACTTGACTAATTTTTTTTCTTTGTTTAGGTGGTGAGGACTTTGACCAGAGAGTGATGGAACACTTCATGAAGCTCTACAAGAAGAAAACTGGCAAAGATATCCGCAAGAGCAACAGAGCCACCCAGAAACTTCGCCGTGAAGTGGAGAAGGCCAAGCGTGCTTTGTCCAGCGCTCACCAGACTAGAATTGAGATCGAGTCCTTCTACGAGGGAGAAGATTTCTCTGAGACTTTGACCCGTGCCAAATTTGAGGAGCTGAATATGGTATGTTTTTCTTTAAATTTTTTTTTACCTATGTCACTTTTTCACAAGCAAGTCTGGTAGTACCTATTATGCACATGTGCCAAAAGCTAAAACCTTTTTTTTTTTAAAGTAATGGTTGGCAAAATACTTTCTTAAGCTTTGCTCATTAATGAACAAAGTCTTTCAATTTAAAAGTTTTTTTTGTAGTTTCTAACTTAACAGTTTTGACTTTAGATTCCGATATACGACACACTTCTAAAGTTGAGCTTATTTTGTTTGCAGGATTTGTTTAGAAAGACCATGGCTCCAGTTAAGAAAGTTATGGAGGACTCTGACCTGAAGAAAAGTGACATAGACGAGATTGTTCTTGTCGGTGGGTCCACCCGTATCCCCAAGGTGCAGCAGCTTGTCAAGGAATACTTTGACGGCAAGGTGGGTGATTGTGAACTTTTTATTTTTACATCTTTATATTTTATATTCTTAATATAATGATAATTTATCTTTAGATCTTTGATATTTTTATAGTATTTATAAGTTGAACTTTTTTGCCTTTCTACTTTTGTTTGTGGAAAAAATATTGAAATGTATCAGATTTCGAACATATTTTCATTGGTTCAAAATTATTTACATGATTGCACGGTTGGTTAATTTCTTTCCTCTCTTCTATATTTTATATCATTGGATTTAATGTTAATACTGTTATAATTCCAGGAGCCAAGCAGAGGTATAAACCCTGATGAGGCCGTTGCTTATGGCGCCGCTGTCCAAGCTGGAGTTCTCAGCGGAGAAGAGGACACTGGTGATCTAGTCTTGCTCGATGTTTGCCCTCTAACCCTTGGCATCGAGACTGTAGGTGGCGTTATGACCAAGCTAATCCCAAGGAACACTGTGATTCCAACAAAGAAATCCCAGATTTTCTCCACTGCAGCTGACAATCAGCCAACAGTCACAATTCAGGTCATGGAGGGCGAGCGCCCAATGACAAAGGACAATCACTTCCTCGGGAAATTCGACTTGACTGGCATTCCCCCAGCTCCAAGAGGTGTCCCACAGATTGAAGTCACCTTTGAGATAGATGTGAATGGTATTTTGAAAGTGTCTGCAGAAGACAAAGGCACAGGAAACAAAGAAAAGATTGAAATTAAAAACGACCAGAACAGGTTATCACCAGAAGACATTGAGAGAATGATCAATGACGCTGAAAAGTATGCTGATGAAGATAAAAAAGTAAAAGAAAAAGTTGAGTCACGTAATGAACTAGAAAGCTATGCTTATTCTCTTAAAAATCAAATTGGAGATAAAGAAAAACTAGGAGGCAAACTCAGTAGTGAAGACAAAGAAAAAATTGAGACTGCAGTAGAAGAGAAAATCAAATGGCTCGAAGCCAACCATGATGCTGATGTAGAGGACTTTAAACAGCAAAAGAAAGAACTAGAAGAAATTGTAACACCTATTATGAGCAAACTTTATGAAGGCGCTGGTGGTCAGGCACCTCCACCAGGGGGCGATGGTGGCGATAGCGCGGAGAAAGATGAGCTATAAAAAAACTTCAGACTTAAGTTTTGTTATATAGTAGTTATGTATTTGAAACCAAATATTTGAGGTTGTTGTGCTTGAGGAACAAGCTGATGAGTATAATTTTCAGTATTATGGAGAATTTGTGCCTGTGAGATTGTTTCTCGAGTATCTGTACAGTCGCTGAGTAAGAAAGCTGTGATTATGCTTTGCTTTGTGACTTAAAACTATTGTCCATCTCTGCCAATTCCATATTTGTACAGATAATGTCAAATTGTGTATGTTCTTCTTCAAAAGTAATAGTAGTTGAGATTAGTTCTTGTTCACAGGTTTCATTTGTTTAGAAATAGATTTTTGAGTGAATATTGTAAAAAAAAAATCATTTCCATTGTGATCTCTGTGGAGGATCGAGGTGTATTGTCATTCATTTGAATAAAAAATTATTTATGTAAAAAATATAGACTTGGTTATTTGTTTCTTTAATATTGGCAAAAACACCACAAATTAAATTTAAAAATATAAATGTTTGTTAAAGTGGAGTTCATTAAGCTTTGTACATTTTTTTTTTATGTGAAAATGCTTTTAAATTTGAGAGAAAATGGCAAACAAATTATACAAAAACTAGGAGCTCTGCAGTGTGAAGACAGAAAAATGTCATTACTTGCCAGGTTTTATAAGCATCTTGTACTGAAAAACCTTTCAATGTAGGCAATATATTTTAGAATATTTAGTATAAATCAGATAAAAGTAAGATTTTGCTAATTTCCATAATTCTTTCTTCAATGCATTGGCACTTTATTTTTCATCCATTCAAAATGTTTTCAAGATTAATTTCCTATTATACCTTGACCCAACTGTTGTTGGTACATGTAATCTGTTCATCCCCAGGACAGTTAACACTTTTTAGGACAAATTCAGTCATTTTCAAAAATTTTTTAATTTGACATGTCATTAATATACAATAGCTTCTTCTGTTTAATTCATTATTAATTTAATTTTGTGAAATTCCTACTGTGTCTCACATTATTATGACCATTGAATTCTTTTTCTAAATTTTTTCCTTTAATTATCTGACCACAATTTCTTTCTGGACAAAACAAGTATGACAAAAGTTTAAAATGTGCACAAAGGCTAGATTTTTCTAAACATATGCCCATATAGTCAATATAACTAAAATATAATTAATATATAGTACAGTCTTAGCAGATTGTTGATATTATCTTATGACTTCATGACTAAAATTACAACTAATAAAACAAAAACATAACAACATGAACCAAGGTCTAGAGACAACAGAACAACAATTTCAAGACCCAACCTCGAACTAAGAGAATTAATTTCAACAGTCAATTTGGGCCCTTTTCACACTGTGTGATGCACTTCTCCTTTTTTCCCACCATTATTGGAGATAGACGACTTCTCCGTCTGGCCATACGCTAGTGAATGATCGAAACAGAACTCCCAATGCTTAACATGGCCATTTACAGGATTCATTTCTATTGGCCAAAACAGTGTGAATAGGACTTATATGATGATAACAAAAATAGGTTTTGCAAATTTAATTAGGATTGAGCTATATTAATTTTATTTAAAATGAATTTGCAGGCCAAAAAAAAAAAAAAAGTGTTGATATTGTATACACAGAATTCTTTGATATAACTGCTGCCATACTTGCATATCATTCAGTATAATTATCTAAATGCTCTTTATTAGTACTAATATATTTGATATTTTCTTAAAATTGCCCATATTCCACAAATAATGAAATATGTAATATGACTTTATAATTGCTATGTAATATTAAAATGCTGCTTACACATTTTATGATAAGCTTTTTAAACCATCACCTGTTCAGCAGAATACATGATGTAAAAAGAAAAGTTTTTCAAAAGGGACAATAAACATTAAACTAAATGCATTTGGATTGTATTTCCAATTTTTTAAAATATTAAATGCCTACTGTGAAACTCCTCAAATCAACCAAAAACACCAAATCTGAATGTGCATTTTTGATTAATTTTTGAAACCTCTCACAAAATGCTTCCTTTCTAAATGTAAGTCTTACTGTATAAGATGCTATTACAGCTAAACTATTCCATGTGCATGCACCAGATCCTTAAAAGCTGAAAGAAGAAAATTATGGGTTGAACCCCTTGAGGTACGTGACTTTGATATTTGTATCATATCTGTATTGCATTTTCATAAAATTCACAAACAAGTTCTTGACTATCACTGACAGTATCGCTGCTCATGACTAATCCAAAATCCTCTGGTATGGAGGTCACAAAAAATTCTTAAATGGTGACTTCACAATATCCCTGAATATACAAGCAGCAGTTTGACGACGTTAATTTTCATTCATTTCTCTCCTACAGTCTAGACTTGACATTTCTTTCTAGTACTGCACGTATGTTGCCTGACGGTTTGTCAGCTGGTTGGAATATCTGAAAAGACAATACAAAACCCACCTTAATGCATGATGTAAAAACAGCGGCCCTACTAGCTTTTCTCAGCATAAATTAATTTCTAAATGTTGTCCTACTTGATTTTTCAGCATAAATTAATGTTTAAATGTCAAAATTAGAGTCTGTGTATAAGGAATCTTCCACATAGCTCCTTGAATTACATGAAAATATGTATGTGTCAAAGGCCCGGACCAAATCTAGTCCTATGCATAAAAAGCCCAGACCCCATGTTTAATACGCCCTGGCTGGGCACATTCTTTATGGTGTCTTTGCATTGTTAACAGCATAATGGGCAAGTTAATTAACAAAGTTAATTGGCCAAGCTGCCAGTTTGTTTGTATGGCATGTGCAGGGGATGTCTTAGATCAAGGCACATATTATTATTATTCTTACAGGTGTGGCAAATGAGATAAATGGGCCTTTGACATATATATTTTTTAAACATAATGCTACTTATAAGTTCATTTAAAATGTGCCAATGATATAAAACATGTAACTGTGCTATCAGATTAGTAAACATCCTTAAATATAAGTATTTTCTCTCACTCACTTCATTATTGTCTGTGATTCCCAATTTTGTAAACTTGCTGAAGTCAAATTTGTAGGCGTGCACATTTGGCAGCACCAATTCTATACGGCTGATCTGAAAGATGATAAGAGACCAATTACAGTACAGCATATTCACAGCATAAATGATTCTAAAGGAGTTTCACCTTCACTCAATATACTGCAGGTGAAATTGTTCTGACAAGACAGATTTTAAATACACCTGAAAATAAAATAAACATAGGAAAATAAAGAAATAAATAAAAATTATTTTACATAAATATGGTCCCTTTTACACATTGATGACAAGGGTACCCATTATGAAAGACCATAAATCATGTAAAACACTACCTGATAACTATTAACCAGAATGCCATGGGGAAGCGGAGAAGGAAGAAGAAAACTTACCTGTGGGACCTTGGACAGAGCCTGCTTTTGAGCAAGATAAAGTGTATGCTGGACAGAGGGAGAAAACAATCCTTGGTCGGGAGGACCAGCAAATTTGTCCAGGATGGCACTTTTTACTGCAGACCTGTAAAAATATAAGAATATATAATATTACCTAGTATATAAATTTGTTGTGTACAACTTTGGAGGCTCAAATGCTGCAAGCAAATGGCAACAACTGTTCCTCTACACAGGATAGCAAAATATGATTTAAGTTTCTCCAGATACAAGAATGATATGTTCATTGAATGATTTTTACACGATTGATATATTTCGCCCTAATCAGCATTATATTTTTTGATAGAAAAATAATAGTGACACAAATGTCTTATCTTAATTTAAATTTCAAAGCAATAAATAAATGGCAGCAAAAGAAAGCTTTCTTTTGGTTGAAAAATCAAGTTGTAAAAAGAATCTGTTTATGGCTCACTGATATGCAGATTTAAAAACGAAGACAAGGGCACACCTTCGATTAAAACACGGGTCACCTGCATTCACTCTATTTTAAGTTCTTACCATGAATTACAATAAGCTAGCCCCTCAGTTGTGCTGTAATCCCACTTTGCCTGAACCACAGTGCAAAAGATTCGATCATTCATGTCTGGCAAGATGCGATACTCGTCATCCACAAAATTGACAAAGGAAGAGGCAGTGGTTTTCAGAATCTTCATGCCCTTCAATCCAGCGCTGACCTTGGGAACACCTAGAACCATGAGGCATGTTACAGAAGAAGTACAATAAATCTAAGGATTGACTTTCTTATTAATAAAGCTACGATCCATTGTTGTGATCAGTACCACTGATCTTCAACAGGTGCCAATTTCCTAAAAAAAAATTTAAGTTAGTTAGTTCCCTGGCTTAGCTGACTACGATTCCCATGAGGGTGCTGTTACACAAATAACCTTGGTAACCTTGGTAATTAAGTTCTTAGCCAGGGAACCCGACTTCGGTTTTTTTGGGAAACCAGGGCCAGGGAAATGAGTGTGAGTGACTTGAGGGATAACTAAAGATAACAATGTAAATTTGGATTTTCTACTTTTCCTCTTAATTAAGTGATATCACACCATTGGATGAATAAGAATACTCACTCCTTTGTGATATGTATTGCTGGTCACGTGAAAGTAAGCATCCTTACAGTTACAGGTGTAATGAAACTGACAGTTAAATTTGTTCTGTACTCGTACAAAAAATGCTCAAACTTTTAAACAGAAAAACATTCACTTTTCCTGAATGCCCCAAAGCAATTTAATTAGGCATAGCAAATGTTTTTTAGGCATACACACATATTATGCACTAGGCTAGTTAAAATTAATTTACCCATCCTACCAGTCATATTACTTAATAATGTTTCACCAAATCACTACTGAAAAGACTAAAATAAATGTTTTTTTATATTTTTAGCATAATTTGATCTCCAGCACTTTTCAATTTTTTTTATGCCTCTGAGCTTCGTCCATCTCCTCTTGAGTCTACATGTAATCCAGAATTTCTTATTAGACCGGACATATTAAAGGATATCACGCTAGGCTATGGCATTTCATGATGACATGTGAGACTAGAAAATGTACAGTAATCATGTGAGTTTTCAAGGTGAAACTCTATGCACCAGAAATCAAGTTACTGTATAAGAAAGTAATGCAGTGATACATTTTGAGAAACAACCCAGTTTCTAACTAGACCTGACATCTGTATAAAACAGATAATGATGTAGATCAGGAAACCATTAACCTGCAATCAACCTTTGAGTTATTAATAATTTCATCTGTGGTTGTCTGATTATTCTCAACAGGGAAAAAAATCAATAAAATTCTCCTTAGGCATCATATACAAAACCAAACCATTTTTATGAAGAAATTATGTAATAAATGTGTTTTTCCTTTCCATAAAGCTGATTATAGAGGTTTAATACAACCATATACATATCATTACCTTATCATTATCATTCTCTTACTACAGTACAAGTATATTTTTACACTTACTATAGGGTCTCACAATATATTCTATAATACTGCAGTATTGAGACTACAATGACAGTTTTGAAATAAGTTTACACAAAAACAGATACAAAGACAATGTTCCATCAAGGTATATTGTTCCAAAGTTATAGTGGATGAACACAGTAAAAGGGCTAAATGAGGGTAGATACACATGTACTAGTACATAATTGAGAACCAGATGTTAATTACATAAGGTTTAAGTTACTCCCTGAAACTTGCTAAAATTGTTGATTAGTGTTTGTGGTTCCATGTTATAAAATTAATATAAAAAAATCCTGCAGTCACCTGCAGTTCAGATCATTCAAATCTAACTGCACATGTATCTATAATCCACAATAACTGTCACTGATAGGGAATTGCATTGTCAATGTGAGGAAATAGGTTTTCATGGGTTCTCTAAAAAAATATTCTTAAGACAGCATGTTTGGTCCAGGAAAACAAAAGTTAATATTTCAGTTGTAACAGGGCTTTTCTTAAAGGTCTAACTGTATCTCTGTCCAATAGATGAATAAATCTAGTCTTTTTTCTCTATTCAATTTGGTAGTGCATGGACAACATTGTTTTTATCCTTCAGCAGGGAAATCTAACGCTGAAGGTAGGGGCATTTCATTGTTTCTATTTAGAATTCTTATCTGTCTAGTGCTCATATTATCCTGCTTGTTTCATCAAATATGACAAATTTAGTTGTTTTATTTATAAAATTTTGACACAGTCACTTCATAGCTTTTCTCAGCCAAATTAAAGAAAGATCCCGTATTTCTTTGTACTGTCTTAAGTGCTTGCTTGGATACTAACCTAAACAAAAATATTCCTTAATGAATGGACTTACCATGTTTTTCCTGTATAACATCACAGAATCGTATGCATTCAGGGCTAGAGATGAATGCATGCACATGTTCCCGTCCTCCCTGAAATGGAATAAAAATGCAAGAATGCTTTGAGAAAACACAATTAACTTGCACAAAAAAATAATTCATTATGATCACTTTTCTTTCTTTCTTTCAAAATTTTCTTTTTCACAAAGAAGCATAATTTACACAATTCTGAAAAAAATAAATGGAGGCTAATGAAGCATGCATCAAGTTGAAAAAAATTTATACTAGTATTTATTAACTTCTTGAAAAAGATTCAATACAGTTCAGCCGTGAATTAACTGTTATAATAAATCGTGTTTACCTGCTGTATCCTCTTCCAAGGAGCCTGCTCTATATGGATATTTGCCTTAACCACCCATGGATACTTGGTCAAGAAGTGATTGGCTAAAATCTGGGCAAACACCTCAATGGTATCTATCTGAAGAAAAAAAGTCTTCATCAGGTTATTTTTCAATTCATCAAAATATACCCTGAGCTTCAGAGCTTCAGAAAATGGTAAGAGTATGGTATAATGTAAAGGTAATTAAATACATAAAATGTACAGAAAATCAAATCAAAAACTTTCTATTGTCTTAAAGTCTAAGTTAAACCCTTCTCAATGCTTTATTCCCTATTCCCTTTTTTAAGGAAAAAAATGAAGACACATCATACATATATTGCATAATCAAATTAATTTCTCCTCGTATTATTACTGTCTAAACAATCATTCAACAATAAAGAGCTTATATATATCCATCACCATCCAAGAAAATATTTAATGTGTATTGTCAGATCCAGCTACACCTGTCATTTAACACAAATGTATGGATGTATCAAATTCTAGGTATGAAACTAACTTAAGAAGTGATGTTTTGTTACTTTTAGGTACCACTTCAAACATTGACATTATCCTAAAGTCAAATTGCCTTATGTTATTAAAATCATTACAACTTATCCTTGGCAGTTTGGACTTTGATATCAATATTAAAACAATTCAACTTTCACAAAAAAGGAATATTCACATTAATATACTGATAGCAAAAGATGTGGTGTATTTTACATGCGAGCATGTAATGCACACATAGATAAATTCAAGACACACTAAGTCTAGACTTTTTGTTTTAGACATTACAGTAAATGTCACACTCAATTCCAACACGAATTTGCAATGGTGATGGATATGTGGCATCTGCTCATGCTTCATCCTCTGGGGTATATCTTTCTTATTATTAAATATCAGAAAAGAAAACTATTAATTCTACCTAAGATCATATTGCTGTATCAGTTTTCTTTAACGTGCATCTTACATTAAAAAGTCTATTCAAAATTTTGAATTTTAGAGTCTAAATTAATAATATTTATTATCATAATTATTATTATCATCACCACATACTGACCCCATTCTGCTTAGCCAGAATATAACAGGTGTTCTTCTGTGAATCAGTCGCAATGACATCAGTGTTGTCACCTCTTAGATAGTCTTTCTTTGAGCTCAGTGTCAAGGCCGTGTTGATTTCCAACTCCTGAACATGGTGTACCCGTCCCTCGCGGCGTACTTTAAGTAACTTGACATAGTTCTTGCCATAGTCACTGTCTGCTATCTGCACTTCATGGTCTGATAACATGGTGCTTTAAAAACATGCAAGAAATAAAGATGATTCAGACTAAAAGGCTAAAAAATGTAACAAGTTATATGGTAGTCAATTACAATAATATTGTTGATCTCTTTTTTAACCCAGTGAAATACCTACGTGAGTTGGAAAAACTTGGTAATTTTTTTAACAAATGATAATTAAGAAACAAAATAGTGTCAAACCAAGTCCATAAGGGAATCTTGGTTATTAATTTACAACAAAACATGGATAGGAAATAGAGGTTGAGCTTCAGAGATGAACGATGCATGGTTCTTTATTTTCACACTTACTGGATGCCCACACGTAAAATTTCTGTTATATACAAAGAATTAAAATTTTTGAATGCCCTGAAACAGCTAGGACAGGTAGGAATATAATCCCAGTCACTTTCACCTGCCCTAGCTTTTCAAAGCACTGTACTAAGTCTGTCTCCAAACCATCACATGGTTATTTTTCACAGTCGTCTCGTCATGAAATTATTTATTTCTAGACTACTTTAAAACATGCATGTACTAATGACAATTCTGCATGCCAAGGGGCATTTAGGCAAAGAAAAAAGCCTTCTGAAGTTTTGCTTCTTCCATATAGCTGAACAACTTCAATCATAGGTATATTCATACACTGAGTGCTGTGTGATTTTCTAATTAATCATCCCCAGTATAAAGTTATACATAACCAATAAATAGTGCCTATTAGTCAGTAAAAGATGTTCAGTGTTTTGTTATTGAACCAGTATATTATATATTATTAACATTAAAGTGGAAGTGTAACCCAAGCCCATATCTGACATGTTTTGGCAATGTTCAAATATTATTGTTGACATATGTTACAACTTTGATATTTTTGTTAATTCTGATTCGTTCCTAGACTAATTTAAGGTTCAGTATTGCAAGGTTTTGTGTCAGGTAAAGGTCAAACATTCCATATCCAATTGAATATGTTTATGAAAATTAAATAAAACTTGTTTCATATAATTAAAGGCAGACTATAAAAACAGGCGTTCATTCACATTTTCACCTTTGAAATTGATATTTTCTAACCATAGTTCTTCATGTTACAGTTAATTTACTAGACAGTAATATACTGGTTTCTTCTTTTCAGTTAGTTACCTATATCCAAGATCAATGAACACCTTGAGAACATTAATCAATGCTTTGACTTGAACCAATGTACCTCTGTAGACAAATGCCAGATGGGTATTAAATAGTAACTAGGTTGTTTACTAGTAAAAGGCCTTTACAAGTGAAAGTGATTCAAATCGACCTTGACACCATTGGCCTTGGGACAGGGACTCGGACCACCTTTGAGTGGGCATGTTCTTTACAGTGCTCACCAATAAAGTGCCGATGTCCTTGATGTTATCAAGAACATTATACCAACAATCTTAGGTTTATGTTAACAATGAAAAAATATTGAATTATTCATTTCAATAACCTTCTCCTGCACTGTTATTTGCCATTCCATGAAACACTAATGGAATTCCAACTTGCCATTTCTGATAAGGTTGCATGTTATTTCTGCACATGGTGGTCACTTTTTGCTGACAAAATGCAAGATGTGCGCTACATGAATAGTCACCCTTGGTGCATAATTAACACCATTATTTAATTTAAGCGTGTCCAATTTCATTGAAGCACCACTCTTAGGCAAACAGATGAAAAAAAACCTTATTTACAGCTCTGTCAAAGGCAAATATCAAGGTTGGCTTTCCAGCAGTAAGGTGAGGGGCAAGCAAAAGACTTGTAAGGGGCTGGACCACATCACAGCTGACATGCAGATACATACTGTCTTTTGTTTACAGTAATGTGCACCTTAACATGTATATCTTGTGTGTGTATAACAATATGGTTAGAAAATATACTCTAGCATATAATTCAAGTTGACAACCAATGTGTACTGTACACATATAGAAAGCAAAAAGAAATACATGAAATTGTACATATTACAGATTTCAACAACTTGAGTATTAATTAGCAAGAAAATAGACCTCCTTATATACTAGAGTGCGTCTTCAAAGTAATTTTTTATTATATTCATAAAATAAAAATTATTTGCGTTTTGCTTGTCATATCGCGCATTGCTTACCTCAGTGTCTATGTGAACATATTTGTACACTAGTTTTAGTTTTACAGACAGAGTGATAAACACAACAGTCAACAGCATTTTTATGTCAGAGATCTACAGTAATTGCCAGTAAATGTTCAGTCCATCGAGTTTAAACATCGATCTGTTACAACTAACACTTTCTCAGTCTCAGTCCCAGCTGTAGACTGCATGACAAACTATGGTTAGCTCAAATTTTAATGTTGTTACGTAACTTGTTTGCAAGTGCATAATCCTCACCTGTTTTAGATTGGGTCAAATGCACGTATCGTTTAAATCAAATTGGTGGACTAAGGTTTGGGTCCTGTCGATCGATTGTAGCAGCAAGCAGCAAGCGGTGAGCTTCGGAAGGTGGGCTACGTGACTTTAAGTCCCGGCGTTGAACTTGAAAGGTATGGGTTGAATGCATGCTTATCTGAGTAAGAACGGGGCCCTACTGTGGGATTTCAGAAAAGGTTAGGAAAAATAACAGTCATGAACTTTGCAAAACTAAAATACGAAGTAAAATTAAAAGAAAATAAACACAAACAGTTTAAATTACTGATACACAAAAATTTCAGAAATTAAAATCAAGGCAGAATTTTTTTATCACGGAAAATAATATATCATTTTGGGCTTTGAATCAAATCATGGGTTAAAGAGGTCAAAGTTGACTCAATATTTATACGCGCCATAAAGTTGAACATTGTATTAATATTATTTGGGACATTACAAAAGAAATAAATAAGTGGCTTATCAATTTTTTTATTATCATTCTTTAAATGATTTTATTTTTGAATACATAAAAAAGAATCAATTTTTAAATGATTTTATTTTTGAATACATAAAAAAGTCTCTGGTTACAAATCTCAATTTACATCAAATTTATACACGCGATATACTTAGTGACCTCACGTGACCTTTCAGTTTCAGGCGAGCAAGTAGCCGACAGCAAGGATGGAAACACCTTTCGTATTGCTGTTTATTTGCTGTTTATCTATCTACATCAATAGCTGTTGGTCGAGCCTACAGTGTGTTGGTGAGAATGGAAAGGCAGTAGATTGGTAAGTGGTGTGCAAATGGACTGACACCTGTCTTTTTATTGGGGAATCGCCGGAGATATCTCAAAGATTCTTCTCAGCCTTCGCCGCGGTGTAATTATATTACTTTGCTTCCTTGCTAAGATAAAAGTGTAGTGTAGTAGTCGGTGTCCAACCTTCGACGTATTTTTTCCTTTTTGAAATAGATTTGATAATTTTATAGATTTACAATTTTACAAATCACATGATGATGATGTTTCTGTAATTGAGGCAAGAATGTGGATCGGTCGTGCCAGGTTAATGCCTAGTCAGCTGATCTCTCTTCCATGAGTCATGTAAAGAACAGTGCCTAGCCGATCATACACCCCAGTTAATTGTAAACATGCAGAGACTATGCACCAGTAGCCTTTATTTGCTTAATTTGTTGTAAAGAATCAGCAGAATGACACAAATCACACGATAGAGTATTACAGGATTAACTTACTAATGAAAGCCCTTTTCTCATTGTGGGGTACACTTTAAATTTCTGTTCCATGCCATTTTGAAAGACTGAAAACATTTTAACAATGTTTATTCAAAAGAAATGGAGGCAAAACGCTAAAAGCATTAGATGCTCTCCATGTAAAATAAAATTAAATAAGTAAATAAATAAAACAAATGAATTTGCATATATGCATACATATACTGAAAACATGATAACCTGGCTATTACAGAAGAGTGTAATTTAGATAAAGTCCCACTCTCTCCACATATCTACCACACATCTAAATACAAGTGCCATCAGGTGTGTCTTTATAGTGATGAAATATTTGCAAAATTGACAAGAAATATATATTTTTTAAATTGAAATCTTATTTACAGGTTTATTGCCTACAAGATTCCCAAGATAGCAGAAAGCTCAAATCCATTTGTAAAGGAAGGCTTGGCATATTTCTATATGGACAATAATACTGTGTCAGTGGCATGGGCACTTTCAAATAATTCGTTAAACGGTACTGGAGGTGCCATCTATAAGACATTAGAGCCACTTTACAAAGCTGAAAACACCACTGAGGTAAAAAGTATTTTAACAGTATTAGCTTAAATTGATATATTTTGTATCTATTAAATATATATATATATCTATATATATATATCTTTATATATATCTTTTATGTTCAAAACTATATTTGAAGTCATTTTAGGTATAGTTGAAGTTATTTGATAATGGAATTGAATTATATTCTTTATAAATAAAATAATATGTTAGGACAGGTTTAATCAAGTGAACTGCTGCATGGGTGTAAAATGGACCTGATATTGACTTAATTAAATATCTTAATTAAAGGAAGTGGCATTTGGTATGTACAATGATGAGACTCCCAGTGGAGAGAAAACAGAGGAGTATGGACACACTAAAGGTAGGGCAATGGATCTTTACCTTGATGCTGTAAGAGCAGTAGTAATAAAAGCAAAAAAAAAAAATGCATGTAAGACCTCTAAATTATAGCATAGACAAATTTCCAGGAAATTTTAGCATTTTTCTTTATCAATAAGGTATTGCACTATCCAAAACAGTTGAGAAAATAACATTTTTTTCATTCAAAATAATGAGAACAAAAATCAGAAACTGGTAGGAAGAACTCAAAATCCAGTTTATGGATTGCAATTTTGTAAAATGTTTTTTTGAGTGACAATAATTTCACAAAGGATCAAAACTTAAAAAGTTATTGAAAAGAATAGTATTCCTGTAGTTCCTAGCCAAGTCAGATCAAGTTACCAGCTGTTGCTTCACCATGTTCACTTTTGCAATTAAGAAAAATATTTTACTCCAAAGGAAAGGGGAATGTAAAGTATTTATAAAACATGTATTTCTTTTATTTGCAATATTAAAAGGTGTCCTTGCCATGGATGTTTACACCGGGTTCTGGATGGTGCATAGTGTCCCCCGATTTCCAGAATTCAAGAAATACTCGTGGCCGGAGTCTGCTAGGGAAAATGGACAGTCATTCCTGTGTATTTCCATAACACATCCAGAGGCTGACACCATTGGTAAGTCATTCCTGTGTATGTCCATAACACACAAACAGATGCTCACACTCTTGATGAGTGATTTCTCATGTAAATTGTCACTACCTAGTTAAAATAATCTTGTTGCACTAGAGATTCAAGTGAGTGAATGTTGTAAGTCAGTATAGAGATTTGAGTCTTCTCTAGTTATCCAGAAATCTGGATATTTTGGTGTTGTATTTATGCCCCCACATAGAGATTACTAACATTACCCCTTGCATTTTCAGGGGGTTTTTTTTTTCATCTTTTTCATTTCTGCTATACTGAGCACTACACATTTGTTTCCGAAATATATCCAAATTCATTTTTTAGAAGATTGGGGATTAAAGAATAAACTTTCTTTGAGTTGGCTTAAAGTCATGTCATGTATTTAGGTTTAATTAAGACCCAAACTTTACAATTTCTGCAGCTCAACAAATGACATACAACCGACCATGGATCTATGGCAAGAACTTTCCAGCTAAGTTTGAGCACACTGACCGCGCATTCCTGGGCATGCTCCATGGCAAGTTCCGTAATGGGAACCGCACAAAGATGATCAATTCTGCAGGTGGAGAGAAATTCCTTGTCTTTGCCAAGGATGCAGATTTTGGAGCTGGTGAGATTCCATTATTGTTGTTATCATCACTGCATGCATCTTGTTACCCTTCTATATTCTTGTTTAATTGTTTGTAATTTTCACACTGCCCCCTTTTTATTTTCTGCACCACTTATTTAAGGGTGCATTCCCATAGATTTTAGATCGATCTATCCCTGTGGGGAGTCTCACTAGATTACTGTCAGATAATCTGGCTCAAATGTCCGTCCCACCTACTACAAGCTGTAAGGGGGTAATTAACTTCGTGCTCGCTCGGCTGACAGCTATTTAGTGTGAACCCCCAGGGAGTTAGGTCGATCTAGTTGGATCGATCTAATCTCTGGGAATGGGGTCTAAGACTAACTAAATCTAAATCACATTCAAGATTGTAATATCATTGGAGTAATCTCAGTTAATATTGAAACATGGAATTCATTAAAATTAGCTGTTTGTGGGGAACCCCTTTAAACCCTCCCAGGGCCCCCACATTACATAAAATACCCTTTTTATGATATAACCCCCAGGGGTTTGGGCACAATGGGCTCACAACTTTGGATAACGCTATCTGTAATACTGCTACAGAGATTCCCAGGTTCCTTGTCTTAACTTCTGCACACGGAAAAGAATGAAACGACTCCATGTTGTAATTTCAACAGAATATATTTTGCTACACTAAAAGTTACATGATGCAAGTATAACCTCTCTCCTCCTCTCTCTAGCTCCAATCCTCTAGATTTAAGTTTACAGGTTTCTTTATACTAAACTTTATCAGTTTAACTGTCCATCACATAGCTTAGAAACTGATTGGTTACTTCATACACAAGTCCACCTTCTTCCAGGTGGGCACTCCTAATTATAATAACACCCTGTAATCAAGGTCTAACAGATTACTGGCTTTGAAACAAAGGACATTAAAATTTGAACTGCAAGGTGTGAAGCATTATCTGAACAACTTGTACAACTTGGCTTCCCATATCTGAATTTTATCAAACAATGGCTTCCTCTGATTGAGTTAATACAACAACATGTATGAAAGTTTTAAAATTACTAATTACACGTTTTTCTATACACTATGGTTCCTGACACATGTGCTTGAATTGAAAAATTGCTTGAAAAATGCTAGAATTGTGTCCACTCTTTTTTCACTGTTATCAATAAGGCCTAAGCGAGACAAAACTGAAACGTGTTTGGCTCTTATTTATATTTATTTCAAGAAGAAAGAGTGTTTTACGTATCCAAGTGTGGGGTGTGAAATACTTTGCACTTGCAGGTCCAGGATGGGGGTTGGGGGGGGGGGGGGGGGAAGGGAGCGTTACATATGAAGTGGCACAGTCAAGGGAGGGGGTGTGTTCCTACTCTACCCACCCCTGGATCCACTTCTGTCTTTTTAGTCAGGGAATACATCATGAATTTCCTATGTTATATCATAGCCCTTGCACCAAAATGCACTATTATCAGTACAAGAATAAAAAAATAATTTTTTTTTCACTAGACTTGTATGATTCCTATGTTGGCCCATACCTGGCCAGCAGCTTGTACACAGAGACCTGGCAGAATGGACCAGGGAAGACACCATCCTACTGCAAGGGCCCATTCCATGTAAGTGCTAAGGCCCCATTCCCATAGACACATCGGTGTATGTGGATCGACTTAGCTCTGCAGGATTCTAGCTGAGTGCAAAAGGAGGCCTGCCATGCAAGTTAGCTGATTGCACTCAGCGAGTGTCCCTGCAGAGTTGGGTCGAGTCCCTGCAGAGTTGGGTCAAACCACGTGGACCCATGGTGTTTATGGGAATGCACCTTAAGTCTATGGCCCTATTCAGAATAGGAGACTAACTAGTCCTAGGGTCAAATATGGTGACCCACTACAAAGCTTGCCGTCCAATCTGCTAATAATCACTGCGTGAAAAGATATCGCATGGAGAAGTATTTGACCCTCGGACTAGTTAGTCCCCTATTCTGAATAGGGTCTATAATAACAACACACAGTTTATATTTGTGTGAACCTGCGACAATATTTCCTACTGGAATGTACAGGAAAACATGTCTTTGTGTTTGGCCTGTCATTTATGACTAAATAAATTGAATTACAAATGGTACAAAACATAGAAGTGCGTTATTGATTTGTGAGAGGGAGATTATTTTACTTTTTTTTTTTAGGTCTGGAAAATTTGACTTGGTGGTAAAACCTTGGATTTGGTATCATAGAATACAATGGGTTATTTTGATATTTTCTTCTTTTCTGTTACTGTTTAGGTGGAGAATATCCAGAGTATTTCATTCCCTAAAACAGAGATTGCCTTCAAAGAAACCAAGGACCATTCCAAGTGGGCTGTTACTGTCAAGTCTACACAGGGAGACTGGACTTGTATTGGTGACATAAACAGACAGGTGACAGAGTCAATCTTTTTCTTTTGTTTAAAGATGCTATATTATAGATAATTATGTTCGTAAATGTCCCAAAGATATGATGTCTCATGTCTCCAGAACCTGTATGGTATTTATTTTTCCCAATTCAGTATTTTAAATTGATGAATACCCACATTAAAATAAAAGCATCTGATGTTGAAAATTCCCTTTTGAAATGCACAGTTAGACATTGTTCTCTTAATGTCTGACCTGCCATTTAGAACCAAATTATTTATTAATTAAGAATGGCATAAAACATCAAATCCAAGTGAACGTTTTTTTTTTGTCCTCTTCCAGGAAGGTCAGCTTCACAGAGGAGGAGGCACAGTGTGCATGAACAACCGCCAGGTCTGGAAGTCTTTCAGTGGCTTGGTGGGTGCGGTTGAGCATTGCAAAGTATAAAGGATTATACTAATCTCCAAAAATGGGTTGCCAAATATCTCAGCAAAATGAATATGCTGCTGAGTTCAGTACTCATACAAGATACACAGTTCAAAGATTTTAACACAAACAAGGCTTTTGTACAGTTACTGAATATTTTGTTAGTCACGCAAGGTTCAAGGGATAACAACTGTTCATTTTGGCCAAAAAATGAATTTTTTGCGGGGGTAAACAACAATTTTTCCATACTTACTAATGGTTATTGAATCCATTCCAATATTCAAAGTTAGTCCCTGTTTTTTTTTCTAAAAAGTTTGGTTTTTTTTGTAATACTCTCTTAAGAGACTATTACAGAGTATAGCCATCTATGGAGGTCACATAGTCCAATGAAAGGCACAAATTCCAGAAAATTGCATTTAAGTAACTGCCTTTTTGGTAGTAAAATAGAATTTATTATTAAATTTCTGTGCCTTGTTTACAATGTATTTATTGTGAAATATCAATATCACATGAACAGCTGTTATCGCTTTAATTTTATTTCTGAAGCAGGTGAAGTTTTAAGGTTCCTAATATTTTCTCAGCTCGAAGAAATTTCCTGTTATTTTAATCCCAATTTTAGTATCCTAATTAATATCCAAAGTCAATATGTAATAATTGGAGCCCATGGTATGTTAAGTAACTATGCATAAAGCGTATACTATTACTAGTATGTATGTCCTCTGTGGTTGATATCAATTTGGTGTATTTCCCTTGACTAGATTGTGAATTCTTCTGAAGACTTAATTTGAATCATTTTGCCTGCATTATATAATATAGAAATATTAGGGGATAAGAATTCGGTCCCTGTTCAAAATATTTAATCTTATCAGTATCACCTTTGCCAAGGAGCTCACGCTTTTGTCTTTGCATGTTAACAGCCTATCTCAATAAGTTATGGACAGTTTTATTATTTTTTTAATCAGGATACTGAGGTGATGTCAATATTCTCAGAGTTTTTTAGTAAAGCATTTTGTTATTAGTGCATTTGTCATTTATAATCATGGTGTTCGGATCTTTGTAATCTCCATCTTTGTACACTTTTCACTTTAAAAATATAAGTTTTACTTTTATATTACTAGTAAACAAACAAATAGTACATAAACAATTTGTTCTTTGGCAGCTATATAAAACTGACAAAAACTTTTTGGAAGTAATTTTTCATATAGGACACTGTTTTTTTATGTCCAGAAATGCCTAATGTCAAATTATCTTGTTTTCAAGTTGTATTCTTTTCAGAAAAGTTTGTAATAATATATTTTTCAATATCTGCAGCAATGTTACTCAATTTGGATACCATATCCTTGTTGGTATCATAAAAATTTTGTATAACTGATCTATGTGGATTTAGTCTGCTTTAACTGATCTCTGTAAACTTAGTCAACTTGGACACATTTTGCTAAGAGGTCAATCAGAGTTGAAGAATTAAAAAAAAATGTTTTAACCTCCGAGTCAGACTTCACTTTAAAAGCACTGCTGAATGTATTTGTGATGCATGTAAACTACATTGCTGCTTGTGGAATCGCCACTTTTCCATCTTAAATCTGTTATGCAAATCTTATTGAAAAATTTAAAAACTTTTGTTGGTTACTTTTTATCATTCACATTCAAAGAAAGCGAATGTTTGACATGGATTATTTGTATGTGGAATCCCATGTAATGGGAAAAGGGAAAAAATGGTCCACCAAAATATGAAATAAACCACATTATCACTCAACCACTATGCCTTTTTGTTTCAAAATATTAATCTACATATACATAGTTGAGAGTTAAAAGTCAAGTTACCAACATAAAGAGCAAGTTTTTATTTATGTTTCAAAGAGTTTATTCACGGTTATGCAATAAAAGTTACATTTTTAACAACTTTTCATATTTAATTTAAGGTTAAAATACAAATATGAAACTTAAATTTTTCTATGGAGACAATTACTTGACACTTGGCACCAACTTTCGTGACAGCAGACTACATACAGAATTAAATTTTTTTCCCCTACTCGTTCCTTTTCTCAAGATCCCTAATTCTGTTAAGTTTATTGGTGATGAAAATCACTTTGGATCAAAAATTTTGAAATTCAGATGCTCTTGTGATAAGAATTATACATAGCTTTTAAAAAAAACTTGGTTCCAAAATAATTTACATCACCACAAACTATCAAACACAAAATCCTACATGCTTAACTTGGACCGTCTTAAAATCTAATGGTGTGTATTTCACTTCTAACTCACTCAATTTTTCTCATAACTGTACAATCACAACACTTTTCCATACATCAGTCCAAACTGCTGTATCCTGGAATGCGTTTTTTTACCAAGTGCCACACCAACATCATCTTGGGTACCCTCTCCCATAGGGACTATTAGTCTTTCCACAATGAGACTTAGTTTGTGAGTTTTGCAGCAACTTTGAACCCTGTTTATGAGAGTTTTGTTGCGTGCCAGAAGAAGAAGGTACACCAAAATCTAATGGTAGATCTGGGTTTTGCTCCATTACTTTAAGTTTAGCTTCTATGGCACGGATCTTGGTCTCTTTGCTGTAAAAAGAACAATTTGCTATATTGAAAAATACATAATATCTTTACTAAGTGAGGAACTGGTGATAAGATGGCAAGACCAGCCTAAATAACAATTATCAAGATTCATATGAATTTCTAGTCTAGTAGGCAACTTAAATCAGAAGATACCTGACTCCATCATCAGACTGCTTCGTGATCTTTACTCCTGACTTCTCATTCACTGGATCATCCTGTAAGTACAGAGTATTGTATGTTCAGCCATAAACAAAAACTTCAGATAATGCATTCTTTAGTGCCAATTTTTAATCAATTATAAGTGAGCTGGCCAATGTCTAAAACTGAGTTCAGGGGCGGATCCAGAGCTATATACTGACAGTCTTCCAAATTATCTTTGTTAATTCATCCTCCAATTTTGACCGTCTTCCAACATTAAAAATTGGATACCCGTCAATGTAAACTTGAAAATCTGACCGTCTTCTGGAAGACCCAGAAGACGGCCTAAATCCGCCCCTGGAGTTTGTCAATAAAAATTAATTTAAAGTTTGAAATTTAACTTTGCTGCTATGTCATCAACCTATTCTTAAATATGTGCAATATATGACAACCCCAATAATGCTGTTTGGTATCTCCTAGTCTTTTGTTCCACTTTAATCTCTTTTACCTTTTTGTCTGTATTAGCCACCCGTACTACCAGTTTCTTGGACAGAGCAAACTTCCCATTCAATGACTTGGTTGCAAATTTGGCCTCCTGTAAAAGAAATGTTGACAGTTGAAAATTAAATGTTGTTGCTCTTTTTCTGGTAAAAAAGAATATGTAGTCAACACAATTACTGTCCTGCATTTGTTTCAACTTTTCACAACAAACACAATTCGAAATATAATGCCATGCACTGTTGCACAAACATAAAAATTCAACTTTATCGAATATGAAGAACATAAAACACCTGTTTACATACATCTATAGTTTGATAAGTGACAAAGCAGTATCCTCTAGGCTTGCCTTGGTCTAGGCCTGTCTTGTGGTAGAGAAAGTCTAATTTATTCAACCGCCCATATTTCTGCAACAGCTTTAGCAAGGTAAACCTACAAATATTATTCAATTAAAAAGTGATATTGATAAACATTTTTTTCTCTGACAAATCATGAGCTCTGATTGCTTTTATGCTAGGACTAGGACTAGTAGTGTTAAAGTTTCAATTCTTACTGTAACAACAATATCAGGTGATAACACTATCCATTTTTTATATAATTTTATTTAAGTTTCAAGTTTTTCTTCCTACTTCACTTTTTAAATGTAACTTATTAATACGAAAACAATTACATTATTTAAACAATCAAACCACATCTTACTTAACAATCACCCACCCCTTCAAAAAGAGACAGAAAGAAAAAACTTCCAATTTATATTTTCTCCCATACTCAAAGCTTATGGCATTTCGATGAATTTCAACCTACTCTGTGATCCTAGGGTCAAGGTTGCCCACCCACAGTCTCCTCTCATCCATCTCTTCTCCATCATGGTACGGCTGGAGGGGGACAGGCTGGGAATAGCCTGGCTGGAAGATTGAAAAAAAATGCCTGTTTTCAAAGTTTGAGGATTATCCAATAGGTGTCACTATCAGTGCTGGCATAAACCATTTCTGGCAGAAGCCTGGCCACTCCCATCAGGTGATTGACAGCAGTTAACTTAAGTGGCAGGTACCTACTAAAATCTGCCCACCTTTCACAAGTCTTAGAGTAAGAGCAACCTTGAAGCTTTCAGACAGTTTTTTTCTTACACACAGCCAAAACACTTAATTAAAAACTTTTTGATTGCCGACAAATGAAACTCTCACTTTTTCTCATATGTGGCACAGTAAAAACATTTTGAATTTATCAATCCATTTATTACCTCACTTTCCAATACTTTTAATATGCTTGCGGTGATAGTGACATAAACAGATAATTATACACAACTTGAAGGGAGTAGGTCACGAAAAATGACTCAAGTATAAACTTTCAGGCTTGTTACACCCTCATTACTTGTTTTTCTCTTCTTTTTTCACCACTGCACATTTGAATTTATATTCTACACACACGTCCAAGTGACAAGTATTTATTTTTCCTGTCTAATTGGTCCCCCTGTGTTCTGAGTCCACAGCAATGGCCAACTGCAGGGTGGACATACAGGAAACTTCTTATGTCCTGTTGACAATCTCTATTTTAAAATTATTTTCTAGAATATTCAGGTCCTTTTTCATCAGCCCTTTAAATGCCATGACCAGGAACAACCTCTTAAAAGTATGTCCATGATATATTATTGTTTCTAATAGTACCTTGATATGCATACATGTATTTCTTATTTTCATTTAATTCCAATTTGACAGGTAACTTTTAACTTACAACAACCCATATGCAAATATAAATACCTCTAGCAGTTTCAAGTAAATAGTTACAGCTACATTCCATTTGACAGGTACCTTATCCATACGTATGCTTTTAATGCAACTCTATGCACCCTCCTCACATGAAATAACCCCCCAACATCTACAAATTCAGCATCCATACTAGTACAAGTAGTTTAATACAGCAGTGTTTCCAGTCAACTTGGGTCAGTGTAACTTGATTTTACCCTTCTCAGCTTGCCCACTGATTATGATTAGTGCACCAAAGCTAACAGTACTGACTAATCCTAATATTAATGCCTGTGTGTGTGGGGAAAGCCGAGGGATTAAGTTTAAAGCTGTGGTGAACTAACTGTTTTGAGATAGCCGACTAGCAATAGCAACAGTAAGCCCAACTTGAATGGAAACATGTTTTTAAAGAAGATTTATGAACAAGGTTTTAAAAGGTTACCACCTCTTATTGTAATTGCTGATATATATCATACAGGTGGGGCACGCCGGGTGATAAATCTGATACAAGGTCACATCATGCCAAAAGTACATCTTAACGACAGCAGAGACTCCCATCAAGTCGTCAGACGACTTTGCAGAACAGTCCTTGTTGTTTTCTGGAAGTCACGAGTCAGTTCTGATGAATCAAATTAGTTTCTAATTTAGCTCTTTATCTTGACAGACAGGCTTTAAAATGGACAAGTTCTGTTTTCTGGAAACCTCAAGATTTTTCCAGTGGATTAACTTTTTTGGGAATATAGAATAGACTTTTTACTTTCTCATTTGTGAAATACTATTATCAAGCCACAATACATATGATGACAGGACAGGTCTGCAATGTTTCTGATTTTTAAAAAAATCTGTTGTTTTTTCTTGATCATTGATTACTTTGATCCAAATCTTTTTCATGTATAAAATATTCTGTATCAATTAAAATATGTTTCATCGGAATTCATACTGGATTTCCTTTAAAACACCTCTTTGTGAATTGTTTTAATATTACAGATAAAATTGATCTGATTCGGTTCATCAGGCTTTACAATGGCCTTGTTAATTGTTCTACTAGTAGGGAAATTCCCATTATTTTTCATGCTGATTCAATTCTTCTGTGCCAGCATTTGAACTTGGCCATAAAAAAAGTTTTGAATGCTATGAGTCATGAAAACAATTTGTCCATAATGCAGGTAATAATAGGAATTGTGTTGGATCTGCATTTTAAATTATATAAAAAAAGGGTGTCTTTTCCTGACATCAATTGTAATTGCATGCAAAATTATAATGATCTTCCAAAGTTGTTTGTGTAAAGCTTTTTAGAAGGTGCATTGCTCAAAGCTGAATTCTTTTCTTTTCCATAAGCTCATGCATCTAGCTTACTTGACAGTGTAGTTTTATTAAGATCAATATCCATACATGTTTTTCTTCCTTTTTTTACTTATCTTTGTTTGACACAGAAAGCTACAATATTGAAACTGAGCATATACTGTAGTAAAGGGATTCCATTTAAGCCACAAGTTCTTGCAAAACATATGTCATGGTGACCTTTTCTTCTCTTCCCATTTATACCAAAAATACTCCAACTGTTTATCTGTTTTCTTTTACCGGTTGAACATCCTTTGAAAATACATCAAGTACCCCAGAACCTTGTAAGATCAAGATTTCACTCATCAAGGAGATGTTTTTTTTTTATCCTGTCCAGACTCAAATATCACTTCTGAATCACTCTAGATGCTTTCCCTGCTAACTGTTCTTTAAATGGCAATAGTGCAGCAGTCAAATGCAGAGGAAAAACATTATTCTCAATTTTCGCAACCTGTTTTTCTCTATGAATCAACACCAAATTGCTCTCCTAAACCATCAGTCGACTATTAGTAAGTTACTTAGGTATTACGATAGAACAGGTTGTTTCGCTTTGCTTCACATTCAATAACATATTACTACAAGGGATTTTTACTAAACCAGACATGACGGAAAAACCGCAAGGAACTGCAGCCTCATGAGCCTGCTGAAATCAAGATATTGCTGCACTGCTAAGGTATTGAGAAGATAATCATTTTGGCCAAAAATTGAACATTCCTAGGGTAAACAAAATTTTTCCCATGCTAACCAATGGTTAACGAATCCATTTCTACATTCAAAGTTAGTCCCTGTTTCTTTTTTTTTTTTTTTATTTTTGTGTGACAGAGTGTGTGTGTTTGTGTGTGTGTTTGTGTGTGATGACCTCTTAAGAGATTGTTAACTGACACAGTTAATCCATGGTGTGATGTGGTGCTACAAAATATATAGGAAAAAAAACTTGTATTGATAAATTAAACAACCCAGCCATTGTGCAATGTTGACAACAACTCCTGATTCACTAAAAATAATTAAAAAAATCTTAATATTGAAAAGATTAAAAAATACAGTATTGCGAGACAAACATACAAGTGATAAAAGATACCAACAAATATCATCACACACTGTAGTCTGCCCACACAGGCACCTGAAGGCTACCTGACATTTTAACCTGCTGTGATCAAAGCAAAAAATGAAGTGGTCATCCTGGCTAAAGGGCATCATAGCCAGTGGTCAGCTGGCATCACCCAAGGCACTGCTCTGTCTCATGCCAACTGACCTGTGATGAACTCCGTGTCAAAAGATGCCGGTTTGTTTGGATGAATTTGTGACTGGAGGTGTGTCTACAATGTTTGCATGCACTGCATCTATAATGTTTACTACTAAAATAATATTTATATCTTTTTCTGCTGAGCAAAAAAAATACATAGTTATGATCATAATTTGAAATATTTAATTGAAAATGGATAGGTGAATGAATGAATAGATAAATAAATGTTTGAATAGCTTGTCCCAAGGACTGATTTTTGGTTACCAAGAAAACTTGTCAATGACACTCACAATAAATATATAAATAAATAAATAAATAAATAAAATTTCCTGAAAGAATTAATGACCCTCCTACAATTAATTAATTTATTAATAAATGAAAGAAAGAAATACTAGTAATATAAAAAAATTAATTTTGTAACTCTCAATGTACAAGTACTAGAACACAGTTGATATTGGCAGAACCTCTCCTGCTACAGACACCTGTCTTCTATGACAAGAAATGTCTCATTCACTTTAAAGCAACCTGTAAAAGTGGCAAAATGCCCATCACACTCTGTCAGTGATTTATATTCACCTGCCACTCTGTTTGACAACTCACACCTAGTGTAAACCGGGGGTGGGAAATCTTTCATCTTCAGAAGTACACATTCACAGATTTAAGGTTCCTGTTTCATAACCATTGGTTTACAGAGTATCAAGACATAAATATCACTACCTAACACAGTCTTGGTATACATGTTTTATTTCTGTAGACATAAACTTATTATTAAATTTTTTAGATATATTTAGCTAACTTTAAAGTAAATATGCAACTTTTTTTTGTAAATAATAAAGAAAAGAAGAAAAGAAAATTCTAGCTACTGGCAAAGATTTCATATAATATGCAAATGTGCTCAGTTAGCGTTTCCTTTGAGTGTCCATTAATACACATCTATCTGCAGGCTAGGGTGGTTAATAACCAACTTTTCTGTGTGACCTAGCTTTCTGTTATTACTGTTTAGTGTGTCACTTGGGGGCTTTTCATATTTCTTTGATGTTTATCTTTTCATGGGATATTTCTTCCTTAGCAAGTCCCAATGTCAAACTGAAACAAATCATCTTAAAAATGTTTGGGCTATTTATTTATTTTTTTTTTACTATCAAATGCATGTGGTTTTCATATTTTCTAGAGAAAAGTTCAAAAGTCTCACACAAAAGAAAGCATCCTACTTTTACTGCCAATTCTATCTCTCTCTCTTTCTCTCTACCCCCCCCCCCCTCCCCCCCAAAAAAAGGGGGGATTAAGATAAATACTGGGCTACAATTTACTAGTAAGTTCGAAATTTGAAAAAATGCATCTGTAGGGAAAATATTCAAGCCAAGATTCCGTAAGAGACTTTCCAGGAAGCCTTTACAATCTATGAAACTGGGCTCAATTTATTCAGCTGTTTCCAATCACCAATAGGTTTATATAATATTGTAAGATACCTTTTTTAAAAAACAAATAAGGAATTGGATGTTTCCAGAATCCTCAGAAAAGCCAATGGATGAGAATCCTTTATCTTACCAAATCAACAGTGCATAAATAAATGAGAAAGCAAATATAACATTTCAAAGTGATAATAAAACTTGTTTTATTAAGTCTGAGCAGATAATTTTGCATTACATATATTGTATACATAAAGATACAGAAATGTTAGCACCAAATATCAGCATTAGTTAAAAATTACAAAATAATGTTAAATAACAATAACTTGAACGATGAAATAAAACCACATCTTCAAACAAAGTAACTATTCTCCACTCTTTCTCACATCAAAAAAAAAAAAAAGAAAATCTCTGACAAGCGTACCACTGTTAGTTGGCAAGTTCAGAGGAACTTCTAACGGTGAAGACGAAATTACCTTCAAAATGCCAGCCCTGCAGAAATACAGTTCACTGCTTAACCAATTTTAGCAGCCGTCTGAGAAATCCATCACTCCTGAATGTCACCCCGATTCAACAAGGACCCGTTTTCATTCTCTACCTACATTCTGTTATGCCCATATCAAACAGTAAGCTATGATTCTCAGGGTGATAACAAAAACCATCATCCAGGAGTAAATGTTATAAACTCTCAAAATTCTAACTTTGAAGGTTACGGCTCAATCTAAACTTTTGCCCTTCTCTATGCAGGCACATTGCATTACACATTTCTTGTTAGAAGCTGTTTTTTTCTGCTTTCTTAAGGTTTAAATGAACAATATAAACTAGTAGTTAAATGCATAAAGCTCTTTCCAAATGCCACAGAGCATAAATATATGTATATGTAAAAATAAACATATGACAGTTTTGCAACTCAAATACAAATAAAGTAATCTTGCAATTCCAGTAAAAATTAACAAAAATTCAAAGCTAAAAGTGTCATATTTTTAAATTATAAAAATGGTCCAACCCATCCAACACACACTTAAAAAAATACAAAAGTAAAATTTTTTGATTCTCAGCATTTCTTTTTTCCTTGCAAAATAATTAGATACTCGTTTTTCTTCAAGCTCATGAATACACAATGCCTTTATAGAATACATAGATGAAAATGTCTTTAATCAAATATTTGTGCAGATGAAGCTCATATCTTACTTTATGACACTGAAAAACCACTGTAATATTAATCAGCACTTTACCTCAACAAGTTGTTGAAATCTTTTGATTCAAATTCCAATTCTTCTCAGTACCAAAGCAAACACAATGAACACTGTTCTAATTTTAGTCTCACGAATCAACAATCATGGGCCTTTTTTGCCAATTTTTTCACCTTTAATTATGGAACTAGAAAAGTGTTCTTCTAATGATGTTGGATAGCAATTGGTCGCTCCTTTGGCTTGATATGGCTCATCGATTCTGGCAGGGGGGCCTCCAGGGCTAGAACGCCGTCATGGCGAAGGGTAGACATAAGACTAGTGGCATCCACTCCTTCGGGAAGGGAGATGGTCTTCATGTACTCAGCATACTGATGTCTACCCTCTGCTTTCTCCTCATGTTTTGCATGGACTGTTACAGTATTTCCTGACGTCTTGACGATCAGCTCTTCAGGTCTGAATTGGTGGACATCAAACTGGACTTTGAACTTTTTACGTCCGCCCTCTTCAACCACAGGAAAGTCTATGCTCTTGTTTTCAGTCAGTCTGCGTGCTTCTGGAAATTCTGGAAACGTTAGAGCTGATGTTGTGGACATATGTGGTGCTCCGATGCTGGGGTAAGGCGTTAAATGGTGCAGGCCACCATACGTGTTGCGACGCATATCTTCACTCATTTGATTCATCTGACGGTCAAACTGGCGCCACTGGTGGGCCATTTCAGGGGGCATTGCACTCCAGTTGCCCACTGTCCACCTGTGGCGGTCAAAGTCACGGTCAAAGGGTGAACCATACCCAAATGGAGTGGTATCCCAAAAGATGGGAAGCCTGCCTGGGGTAAATGGCATCATTGGATGGTGGAAAGACATGCTGCAATGTGAAATGTACTGTCTCTAGGTACTTGTGCTACTTGATGCTCGCTTCTTAGAATCTTACTAGCTAGCTGGAGTCAGTGATGATCTGCTGATGTTCTGAACGTCGTACTATTCTGCTTTGCTTTTATACTTTTGATTACTCTACGTCTGGAATATTCGCAATCTGAAAATAACGCTGTGGCTCACTGTGTTGACATCTGTCGACCAGGCCTTAGAAGGGGCGATATAAATGACGTGGAAGTATCAGCAATGATAGATGCTAGTAGCATTACAAATTCATTGAGGCGCCCGCCCCACCAAATACGTGAAGTGGGCAGGTAGAGATCACTCACTGCATACCAATGAGGGATAGGTACGCCCCTTTGAGAATTTGACCGGCTGGAGATAGGTACGTGCATTATTAAGTAAACTTACCGATATTGCACTCATGTCTGAAGACGCTTCTTGATATAAACTTAATTTGCTCCTCCGATTCCTGTCAAAGAACTCCAAACACCTGGTCTTTGTTGACATGAAGTTCTATAGATGTCGCCAGAGTGCCGTATTTGAAAGAAAATAAAGCGACTATAGCGCCATCTATAACAATAAATCATCTATCCCCAAAATTAGTGACGTTATAAACATTAAGCACAAAAACAGTGACGTTTTATACATCCATGTGTTCGTTAGGGGCTTTGCCGCAATGATAACGTTGATGTAAACAAGGTATTGTTTACGGTTTGATTTATTACTACAGCACACCTAATTAGAAAATTCTGCAAGAACTTTCTCAAGGTGCAATTTAATTTATGCCCAATGAAATGTTCTGCGCGTAAAGTAACCCCTCATCTGGGATATTTACGACGGACAATTACAGGCCTCCTACGTGTAGGGGTCGTGTCGATACTCCCCCGCTTCGTTACTCTCCCGCACCGATACTCTCCCGCACCGTTAATCCCCCTTAGTATTTTTTTGTATTATGCGCATCGATACGACCCCACACCGATAGATCACCGCACCGGTACATCCCCGTATCGGTGCGGGGAAGTATAGGCATGTAACCTACATGTGTACATGTACATGATTTTTCCTGGGGACCACTAACGTTGGCGACATGAAATCGCAGTTTGAATCGTGAAAGCCTAGATTACATTACATGCGCGTACAGTGTTAGTATACTGCCCCTAAACCATGTGAAATCGTACAAAATCTTACATATTTACGGCCTCCCGTCTGTCTGTACAGCTCCCTACAATCTTAATTAAGGGGACTGTAATCCCTTATTATCTCACCCAGATACCGATAATAAGGTTTTTCCAGCATCTAATTAGGGGCCCGAGCCATTTAATCATGCATCTATTTTGTGCTGATTTAAAGCAATAAAAAACCCTCAAAAATATAAAGTACCGACGTTTTATATTTCCTGTTGCAATGTATATATATATATATATATATATATATATATATATATATATATATATATATATATATATATACTGTATATAAGCATAGACAGCCCAAAGCTTTAATCGTCAATTTAACACCTTTCTATTTTGAGGTGAGATAGCAATCGGTATGGGGCCTAACTTCATCCCTGAACAAGATTTTATCACTGAAATTGGCAGAGTTAACCACAAGTGTATAAGCTACAATCCCGCTGCGTCATTTTGGTTAAATGTGTTTGTTATGAAGTTATGAGCCCCTAATTACAGTATTTATTAAGCAAAGGCATTATTTTGCTTCATCAGTGATAAAAACTGAACTAAGAGTTTTGGACAAAGAGTGACAATTTCCTTAAACCAGTTATCTTTGCTCGTTTGGTATCAACAATCCTGCAATTACTATTTTGAATAATAAACATTTCATTTATGTTTAATTTAATACCTACTTATTATGAGGCAGTATTACAGTCTTTTGGGAAAACCACAGTAGTCAGTTTTATTCTCCACCTTAAAACAAGGGGAGTAACTTTTATTCCAGTGAATAATGATGGTTATGTACATATCATAATATGTAGGAAAAAAAAGAAACTGAATAGATTGTATCCTGTTTTACCTGTCTCACAGCCTAAGAGGAAATTGGTCTATAGCTTTACGAAAATTTGTCACTGGCAGACAGAAAGACTTTGACAAATATTTGAATTGCAGTCATTTATCTACTGCTTTTCTATTCTTTTGATTTCCTGAGAGAGTTTTTTGAGTGCATTTTAGTGCTTTGTCATAATTACAAAACATCTGACAAAAAAAAAAGACCTAAAAGAGTATATTTAGTGAATACCATAGCATCCCATTAAATTTAATAGTAAGGTACTTAGATATAATATGTTAATATATTGTCACTGTTTCATTAAGAGAATCCAGAGGTTTTTAAGGGGTGGGGTGGAAGGGGTCTATTTCTCCACTCAGGCCCTAGCTTCTCTTTCAGTGAAAATAATGCCCACGCGCCACCCCTATCCACCAGATATAGTCCAAATGATACTGTCATATTTTATCCTTACCTTTTTCTGTTTGAGGTTTTTGGTCATCCTACTGCATTATGTTATGCTGTTATTTTATGATAATTATAGAAACAATTGAAGTAGAGAAAATAGAACTTTACTGTTAGGTTTATAACTGTCTTCTTTTCTTCAGGGTTTGTTAAAATGTAACTTACTAATTTGTCATAATATTTTTTTCAATATTTCCACATTGTTTTTATTGTTTTTATAACATGTATTATCATCACAGTACCTCATTTTTCAGGTTTTTCTATCATTTTCATTTGAGTAGCAGGAATATAGAAACACATCATGGCTTCACGTGCACTGTCTCATGTCCTTCAGAACATCAGAGTAAAAAGATCAATGACAAAGCCTTTCCCTCAGCTAGACTGTAGCATCTGTCAACCTAGGGCTCACATTTACTTGTACAACACTTGTTTTGAAAGGTCCTTGGAAAACGGCTCCATGACAGCAACATTTCAGTTGAACCATGTGAGACATTATGCCAAGAAAGGTAGAGACAGTTACAGAAAACACACACACACACACACACACATTAAAGTTGTGGGTCATACATGTCTCGTGTTTATTAATTAATTAATTTATTTTTAATTGATATATATATGCTCTAACTATATATATATATATATATATATATATATATATATATATATATATATATATATATATATACCTATTCTTTTATTTACTAATGGTTTGTTAAAACTTAGTCATTTTGCTTCTGCTGTTTGTTCCATTGTTATAGCTCACAAAAAACTGTTTTGTTTTGGCTTTTCACATTTTTGGCTCAAGGATTAGGTTTGAATAAAGAATGTTTAGTGATTAATGATAATTTTCCTGGATTACCAGGTCATGCACCTTTTATTGTTGGTCTTCATTTTTACAGCTAAGGGTAAAGGCAACACTTTTCCAAGGCCAGAAACTAAATTGACACAGGAAGAATTGAATGCCCTGTTTTCTTATGATGAAATGATTGAAAAAATGAGTAAAGCAAAAGACAATTTGAAACAGTTTTATTTTAAGGATCTGCGAGTACGAACTTCTTCAGGTAATCAGAAAATAAATTAATGCTTTTGTTTTCATTTAAGTTCTTACTAGTCAGAGATTGAATAATTATATTTAAATTAAGAAAACTTTTATTAGAGTGTTTGTTAGTCATATTAGACATAATGTAATTATGATAAACAGAAACTAAAAATCAGTTTATTCTTTTTCTTAATTTTTAAGTTTTATCATTACTCTAAGTGAATAAACATTCATTGCTATGGAAAACTGTTGTAGTGCTAGGCTACAATTAGCATTATTATTATCATTATTGATTTGTTTGTGTTAAATAGATATTGCATATAATATTTTCCTGATGAAAATGTAAAGATTGATTTATTTTGTCTAATTTTCTGAAAATTACCTTTAATTAATTAAAATTGATTCGAAGATTTTGCAGGCAGACTCGAGTCAAAAATTAAAGATTTATCCAAGAGTCTTTTCTTAAATTTCCAGAACTGTGACTAAATCTTTTTCTGGTGTTTAAAAAAGTGTTGTATTGGTTGTGACAATTTTCTGATTGCATTAGGAGTGCTTTTAGATGTGCCAGGATTGCATTTGAATTCTTTCAGGTGCTCTAACTGAGATTGACGTATCCACTAGTGATGGAACATTTCCATTAAATCAAATAGCCAAGGTCGTACAGAAATCTCCCCAACTTGTGGTGGTTGATGCCACAACATCTCCTCAGGTGATATGACATGACGAGATCCTATGGTGTAATTTTTTTCCCTTTGTATACCATGATGAACATTGTCATTACAAAACTTTGGTGTGTGAGTAGCCACTGTGATTCAGTGGCAAGGAATCTGGATAGAGCACATTATAAATTATTCAGCTGTATTACAAAACGATGGTATATGAGGAAAAATCTTACACCACACAAAACTGTAAGTCGGGTTTATGAAAAAAAATTGTTAAATTTTCCTTTCAATAGAATAAACTAAATCTTCAAAAAATGGAAACATCTATTTGGACCACCCTGTATATATATATAATAATAGTATAGTACAATTATGAGTGAATGTTGTTAGTCATCCAGTAGAATAAGAATGATAAATATGAATAACTCTGATACTGAAACTTACATTTAGCTTTTGACCATTATTGGGATCTCAACTTGAGACCTTTCACTAGGTAAATGACCTGGATGGACTGGTCACCTAATCTATTATCATATGGCTAGGCATAGTGAAAGGTCATGAAGGTCTCAGGTTGAAACCGCAGTGTTGGTCAGTTGCTAAATGTTTAACTCCTTCACAAACAACAAATGAATCAAATAAGTTTGGCCAGCACACTAGTAGTGCCACCGCTTTATTTACTTAGCAGCTACTGTAGCTGCAGCTCACTTTATCCAAAACAGTTTATATCAAATCAAACCACTACTTACATCAATTGCCTTGGAATACCTATATAATTTTTCGAAAATAATATAAATATACAGATGTAAACTAAATTACATGTAAATTAAGTTTGATTTATATAACTTTACATTATAAACGCACAACAAACAGATCTATGACACCCACGAAGAAACCATAGAAAAAAACTTGCTACCAAAATGTAAGTCTGAATGGACTTTGAAGTCCTGCATGCAACAGATCTTCAGGAGTCAGACTTCCACTTTTGTTTACGCAAATATTAAATATTACTAATTAAAATTTAAAATTTGGGAAAATTGATATGCACAGCAGTGCGGGGAAGACTAGAATGACTTAAAATAACTTTAATTTATTAGACACAAAACCAATTCATGGGGCATGCTCTAATCTAAACACTGTTCTCGTAATGCACAGAAAGCATATTCCTGCTGTGCTTCAAAACATGGGAATATTCATTTCCAGTATCAGAGTTACTGAATATTTATCAGTATACAGCACTTTATTTTATATTTCTGATTGTGAGCCTTCGAATTTTGGATTATACAGAATTAAATAAAAGAAATCTATACAGTTTATCCGTTTAGTATAATTTTATAGACAGTTGTAATGTATTATGTTTATATTAGAACTTTGCTGCATTGCATTTATGAGCAATATTTCCTTTTTAACTACAATAGTACATAAAGAACATTTCTGATGCACTGTTCAACTGCAATATGGGCCTGAATCCACAACAAGAGGGGCTTACTTTATATATACCTATTCCAAAGTAAGTACTGCTGAGAATAACCTTATTTTTATAATTCACTTAGTTTGGTTTATCCAAGTCTCAAATGACTTAAAGTTACCTACAAGTACCTATTTTAACTTTGTTTGGCATGGGTAAATACTATTTTGAATACATATAAATATTTTTTAACATTATCGATTTGTGTTTGATATTTGGTATTACTGTAGGCAATATTGGCACTTATTTTTATTATCACTCAGGATTTTTTTATATATTTATTTTTCAAGTGAATGTGTTTAAGGGTTTAAAATTATGGCATTACAGAGTTACAAAGGAACACAGAGAAAAGCTGGTCAAGTCCTCGAAGACCAAAGCTAATGAAGCAAAGAAAATGGTCGAAGATGTCAAGATAAAATATCAAAGCATTCTGAAGAAAAAACATGAACACATTTCTAAAGACACCATAAAATTACTAGACACAATAGTAAGTTTAACATTTCTAATTGATGTGTATACTTTGTGGCATCTGTGACAAAATTTTTCTCTAATTTTTATTTAGAATTTAATTGGTAAACTGATTTAGAACCACCTTCTGAATGAACATTTAAATTATCAGGGTTACCATTGGTATATTATTTGAATGCTTCTCTCTTCACTTGATATGTATTGAGTGTGGTATTACAGTTATGTTTTCATTATTTCATATGTATTTTTAAAACATATTCTAAAAAGCTATGTTCTGTTCTTCCAGGTTCAGACGAATGCAAATAGGGTAAAGACTGAAATTGATGAAATTCAAAAAGCAAAGGAAAAAGACCTATTGCCTTGAAATTATATGGACACACATTTCATGCATGGATATAAGTTATATTGTAATGTTACTGCCATCAGCATTCTGACATTAAGTCACTTGGTATGTGTTGACACGATGCCAAGAAAATCAACAACAAATGGTCATGTTTGAAAATAATTGGATTAAATTTATTTTCTACTAGTCTTTCATGCATTTCAACAATTTATACTTGAAATGAGAAAAAAAAAACCCATCTGACCATTTTAATGCAGTTTACATGCCAGTTTATAAAATGGTAACTGTAATTTGCTACACAATACAATTATATATATATATATATATATATATATATATATATATTTTTTTTTTTTTTCAGAACTTTTCCATGAAAAATAAATAAGGTGGAAAAANAAAAAAAAAACCCATCTGACCATTTTAATGCAGTTTACATGCCAGTTTATAAAATGGTAACTGTAATTTGCTACACAATACAATTATATATATATATATATATATATATATATATATATATTTTTTTTTTTTTTCAGAACTTTTCCATGAAAAATAAATAAGGTGGAAAAATGATAAAAGGAAAGCTTTTTAGTTTGCCAAAATATTTCTTTAGTAGTTTATAAACAAACTGTTACCAAAATTATAGGTGAATCATGTAAAAGTTGGGGTATACAAAATGTATGTTAAAAAACATTTTCTTCTGCCTATCTAAGTATTGGGCCTTCAGTACTGCCCAGAGTATTTCAAACGCATGGTATATTATTAAAACTGATTACAGTCACTGTGATGATTCATTGAGGTAAAATGAAATCAAAATATAATTTCTAAAAATAGTAAAAGTCATAATTAAATGTATTATTTATACCATGACTGGCACTTCAAACGAGGATAATTGCACTGGTATTTCGCATACAGGCTTGCCTGTGTTTGCATACGCTTCTGTGCACTTATCCTATTGTTTGAAAGCACCAGCTGTGGTACAAGTCGGTTACAACAGAATTACTCCTCCTCGTCCACTGTATGCCACATACAAGAGCAAATTATATCTCTGCTGCACCTCGATATAATTAGGCTCTTGTATGTGGCATACAGTGGATGACTTGTGTTGTAACTAGGACTAATTGTTAGTCCCATTTTCCATATGTTCACTTCTGGTTCTAATGAATGTCTACTGCACACTTTTGGTGTCAGGGTTTTTACAAGATTCTATAATCTGTCATCTTTAACAATTTCATTCCCTTGGTCCTGAATAACCTAATCAACTTCCAGTAAAGGTCGTCAAACACCAAGTACTTTCCATCACAATGTACTTAAAAGTACAACCAATATTTTGTCAATAAGATGTTTTCTTTATCCCAGCATTTGCAGCATCCACTGATGGAAAAATACCACTTTAGCTTGAATTGCCTTGAAAACTGGACACTGGAGTCAGTGGACATTGATTTAATGGACTAAGAATGACACCTTTGCAGTCCAGTGTAGGAACTCTTCACTTTTGTGAGACCTGAAGACATACCATCCCATAATATTTCTTCAAAGCTGCAAACACTGTCTGTGATGTTGCTTAGCATTTGATTGGTCCAATCAACTCCAAAGAGCAGCATACAATGAATGTAACACGTAACAGTGTGATGCATTATTCACGAAATGATTAACCATCAAAGTCACATGAACACATCGTCTGACGCTGTCACAAGATGTCCAGCCGTTACCTCCTTAGAACCTGTTTCTTAAACCTCTCAAAATGGAAGTCATCTGTGGCTTTTTCATCTCCAGATTTTTTCTTTCCAGATTTGTCTGAAAATGATAAACAACATGACAGAAATGAATAGTTTCACGCACACTGCATTGACAATTGAGTCTTATTAAACATAATGGTGATAAAAAGTGTCATATGCAAAATATCAAATTGAATGTTTAATTCTATGCAAAAATATACTAAAAAAAAAAAAAAAAAAAAAAAAAAAAAAACAGAACATATCACAAAATAAAATCTGTGCAAGAGGGGTGGAGTAGAGGTGAAGGGGGAAACTGAATTCGGGTGCTCTTACCTGTAGCAGTGTCTTCAGAGTTATAATCCCCAACTCTAACAGGTTTAGGTTTGGGGGCCTCTTCCTTGACTGCCTTTTGTGCTGGTTTGTTCTCCTCAAACGTGACTGGAAAATATTCACCAAAAACTCGTAGATACACCATTAAGATATACTGATATCATAATGTGAGGTAAATAAAAAGGTGAGGGGAGCTATTTGATATACTACTGTCTAATGTAAAATCTCCATGTAGGGTTGCTTTCAGCTTGCATTTGTATAATCTATGAATATTAGACTTGCTCAAAAATTGTATGTTACATAGTACTCTTTATTCATCAATGTTAAGCTGAGCACTGAATCAAACTTTAAAATATTAAGTAAATAAATACTTTCTGTAACTGCACTTATGTAAAGAAAGTTTCTTTTATGTTACACTTATTCAAGTTAATTAAGACCCTGACTTACATCTCTTGTGCTGTACAAAATTCACTGCATAATTTGTTGGTACAAATTCTGAGACATTGTCTTTCTTGTTCATTCTTTCTCTCAGTAGCTGTGCTTTTGCTTCCTCTGTGGCTTCTATATTTTTTATTTTAGCCCTAAGAAAAAAAAAGACATTTAATAACTCTCTAGTATAATGGCAAAACTTCAGGATTCAAATTGTCTTCCTTCCACATACCATGCCCCGAGAATAAAGAAATCGGCATCACAACAAAATATTCTGACACTACTCTAGCTGCAATTCAAATATAGGATGATCACATTCAAACATAATTAACACTGCATAAGTTGTGAAATTATAAGAATTAAAATCATGTCAAAAAGATTGATATATTAATTCATTACTCAATTAATGTATTCCTTTATCTATTAACTATTTAAAATCGTGCCATAAAATCTGATATATATAAACCCATCATTCAATTTATCACTCAACTTGTTCATTTCTCTATCAGCTATTACTTACTCTATTCCCAAGTCCACCTCAGGAATTCCAGACAGCATCTGATTGGACAACATATCTTCGTTTTTACTCCATAATCCAACGCGGAGGTGCTCAGGTACATCATACAGTGCATCCATTGGATTCTGGCTGAATTAGAGCATCCCAACATTAAATGAATAAAATCATATTTATTTGCTTGAAGAAACTCTTTAGTCTGATAATAAATTCAATGTAACGTACTACTGTGTACAATAACACTTGTGCAAAGTGGATAAGGAGGTATCCTGATAAAACTGATAAGGTTGAAAATTAAGAAAATGTACAGTAACAGTCTGTGATATGATAAAATAACAAAATACAATATTATGCATTTATTTCATTTGTTAAGTTTTGTCAATGGTGCTGTAAAATGATACACTTCTACGTTATTTGATTTTTTTTTATTTACTTCTACGTTATTTGATTTGTTTTTTATTTTGAGGGTTTCTCATTTAAAAATCCACTAATCCAATCATTCAGTAAGACTGCATGACTATGAAATCTTGTTGTAAACAGCATGGCTGTAACATTGTTAGTGAGAACCTGTAAAATTGAAGTTTTTCCTTTCTAAAAAGATAAAACAAGAATGTTGTTTTTATACACTAATATGATAAAAATATTTTGACAACAAAATTATTTTATTTAAAGGCTAGGATGGCATAATTTTTTTTAAAATCTCGAAATGTGATATTAACTTATCTGGCAAACTGACGGATGTTTTTCCTGATAGGGTTTTTATAAATGTATGTAATATATGAATAGGAGGTTTTTAGAAAAATTACCAACCTTGCTTTTCTCTCCTGAGGTTCATCTTTACCAACACCTTTCCTCTTCATCAACTCTTCTTCAACATACTTCAACCTAAAAAGATTTTATAAGAATTTAGCTGATTGTGAAATATTAAAAAAAAATTAACCAACATTAACCAAATTCCTGTTTAAAGTAAATGAAAGAATATCTTCCTTACACATTTTTTTCACAGAGCATACTTTCGGATAGTTTAATAAGAATGTGAAAATGGTTTCATTGGATCTCGGCATGAAACAGGTCTTTCGTTATCTCTTGTACAATGAAGAAAAAGGGTACTGTAGACTGTTTTAAAGAGACTAGGTTGGTTAATATTTGATGCGTTAGCTACATGTTCTCAAATAAATGTAATTTTCCACACTCACATGTCAGCATCCTCATCTCTTCTGTTAGTTTCAGCAGCAAAAGCTGTGCCTATAGATTCTATCTCTTCTGTTGTGGGCCTCCTGTGTAAATATTAGAAAAATATGAAGTAATGCCATAAAATAGAAATCAAGATCATATCTCGCCACAGGCACAATAAGTAACAAGAAATTAAACAGTTATATTTTATTCAGAAATACATGGAATTGCTGAGATTTCTTTTGGAAATATACTATTTTAGACAAACAATTTTAAAACCAAACTGATTATATATTGCCATGGCAATAGTCTTTTAACTATAATTAAAAGTGAACTTTAGAACTGTAGACTTAAGCAATGTTCAAAAAGTTCATATTGAATTCTATCTTTAACATACCCTTGATTATTTTGTGAAAATTAGTATGCAAATATTCATAGATCTGTATTTAAGGAATTCACCTAGTGGAACCTTTAAAAGCATACCTGGCTTTTATAGCCTTCATGTCCATCATCCCACCTGTCTGCAGATTGAATGGGTCATTCTGAAGAGAATTTGAATATGATCATAGTATTTTGATTTTATGCAATGAAAAACAGGTGCAAAAATGTATGCAACATGCCATATTATCAGCTCAATATTTTTCTTTTTGGAAAACACTTTTATTTGATGACACACACAACCACGCACACACACACACACACACACACACACAAACATTAAGACATGTACACACACACACAAACATAAAGATGTACACACACATATCCACACATAAACATAAAGACATGCATACATACACACACACAGTCATACCCATATGCAAGGATATTCATATCTTCTAACAGCCAGAGTAATACAGACTTACATTGGAGACTGTGTCCACCACCTTGGGGACCTTCTTCCCCAGGTTCAGTGAAGTGACACTAACACCATGCTGCTTTTTACGCAGATTCTGGAGAAGTTTCACATCATTTACATTGGAGCTGATAAAAGAATCAGAAAACAGATTATTAAGTTTGACCAATGGAAATATACATGAACCGCCACTCTGAATAAACTGTTAAAACAATAGATGAATAAATTAATTTGTAATAAATCAACTGATTGTCAGACATTGAAAAATACTGAAAATTAACTATTTACATTTGTACTAAGGGTATTCAAAATTATTATCGAGAGATCAACTGGCATATTCTGCATTAAAATAGTTGTCTTACGATTATTTGACCTTTAACTTCTCCGTGAAACATATTTGATTGTGCCCAATCCAACCCAATCCTGGGGTCC